CCTGAGGCTTCGGCGAATGGGGCAGCATAGAAGCCTTCTAAATAAATAAATAATAATAAATAAATCTACATGAAACTGCTGGGTGATGTCATCCAGAGTTTTGGAATGTGCTGCCTTCAATATGCTGTTGACACACAACTCTGTCTCTCTATCTCACCTCCACAGCAGGTGAGGCTATGGATGTGCTGCGCTGGTGCCTGGTTGCAACAGTGGACTGGATGAGGGCTAACAAACTGAAGCTCAGTCCAGACAAGACTGAGATGCTGTTGGTGGGTGGTTCTTCTGACCAGGTGGAGGGAATCCGACTTGTTCCAGATGGGGTTACACTCCCCTTGAAGGAGCAGGATTGTAACTTGCAGGTGCTTCTTGAGCCATCTTGAGGCCCAGGTGGCTTTGGTGGCTTGGAGTGCCTTCCACCAGCTTTGGCTGGTGACTCAGCTATGCCCCTATCTGGACAGATAGCCTGCTATGAGTGATCTACACTCTGGTAATCTCTAAGCTAGGCTACTGCAATGCCCTTTACATGGGGCTGTCCTTGAAGGCTGTTCAGGAGCTGAAGCATGTGCAAAATGCATCAGCCAGGTTAATAATAGGGATCAGATGGTCTCATCATTTAACACCAATTCTGGCCAGCTTGCACTGGCTGCCTGTATACTCTCAAGCCCAATTCAAGGGCCTTTAAAGCCCTCTACAGCTTGGAACCACGATTCCTGACAGAACCCAGATGCTACAATAAAGTTCTGGGGCCTTTCTTTGACGGCCACCTTTGAGGGAGGCTTGGATGGTGGCAAAAAGGAGAAGAGCCTTTTAAGTGGTGGCCACCCAGTGATGGAATGAGCTCTTCACTGAGACTGCCTGGCACCATCTTTACTATCTTTTCAGCACCAGGTAAAGACCATCCTCTACTGTAGGGCATTTGCTTAGTTACTGGGGCCTGCTGGTTGATAGGCAGGTCTAACAGGATCTTTTATGTATATTTTTTCTGTTTTTATTTGGTTAAAAATTTTGTATTGCTTTTATTATGTTTTTTTTTAATTTATTTCATTTTTATACGGCCCTGAAGCCCGAAGGCTCTCTAGGCAGTTTGCAAAGTTTTAATTGGTATATTTTACACTGTCTTTAAATATGCTGCTGTGAACACCCAAAGAGCTTTGGCTGTCGTGTGGTATAGCATCCATTTTTGTGGACTGCACTTCACTTCATCTGATCAAGGGCAGGCTTGGATGTCACAGCCACCCACCTAGGCAAGTTGCCACAAGGTGTTGATTGTTCTGCAAAGTGGCTCCACTGAACAAACCCCTGGGCTCATCCTGGGTATTGTGCCGCTCCTTCCACCAGATGGTATGCCAGGTGACACTGCCGGAGCAAGCAGCTCTTCTCCCTCCCACCACCGTGCCAAGCCAGTTTTGGCTCACCTCAGCCTTTTTGTTGTTTAAAACTGTACTTAGGAGGAAGTGGGGATAGCCAGCTGGACGACTGGCTTTCTCAAGTCTCCTTTGAGCAGACATCAAGAGTTGCTTCGGTGTGCTACTTCAGCTTGTTGGAGGGTCTTTCTGTGGTTCTTTGGCATTTTGGGTATGTGCCACAAACAGGCACATTTTTTTTTGGAAAACTTTTGCTCCATTAGCCCAAATACGCTCATTTGCAGAAGTGCTACTATGAGCATTTAAGCCCCAGCTGAGGCTCCCTGCAGGGGGATCCCAGGGATTAGGACTGGGACATATTCAGTGGCGTACAGTCCAGCTCCACCCAATTCCTGCTTAAGCTCCATTTTAGATGAACCCCCATTTTGACAGTGTCAGTCAACTGTTGAACTTGGTTTCCCATTAAAAGGAGAGGCTCCCACTTTTTGTCTTTCCCCAGCCCTCAGCAGGCCAAGGAAATAAAATGGGTGAATTAGAATCCTCCTGCGTGGGGTGGGAAGTCCCTCTAAACACCCTCTTCTCACCCTCACTTGGGTTTCTGATGACAGTCTGCTTTGGGCTACTCGTAAGTAGGAAGGACAGCATTTCAAGCCTAGACTGTGCACTCTAGGGAGGGCACCAGCTAGCCTGGGCAGAGGAAATCTCCCCTCCTGGGGCCATAGTCCAGGCTTGAAATGCCCCCATTCCACAATCAAGTACTTTCATGCAAATGAGAATAAGAAATGGCCAGTGATGTGACTGAATTATTTCAAAGTGCAACTCTAACATGTCTGTGATGCATGCAATGTGTTCTCTATGTCTTAGTATAGGGTGAGCAACATGTGAAATAAATTTTAAAATTGAGGGCTTGCCACTGCAACTTGGTTGTGGCAAGACAGATATATGTTACTTTAAAACAAAAGCTAAGTAGGCCCTTTTTACTGCCACTGGCACTCCACAACTGAATTTTGGCAGCAAACCTCCATTTTTTCTGGCCACAGTAAGTTCCAGTGAGAGAAACTGCCCCGCTCCTGGAAAATGCACAGCCTGTGTTAGCATAACTTGCCTAGGACAGCAGCCAGAGACCCAGAAAGACTAGTCACTCCTGCCTCCCGCCCGCCACAAACCAGGTGAATGGGTGTGCAAGGTACTGCTTGCACTTCCCAGGATCCCCTGGAGTGGCACCATGTCGGGAGCTCTGGGGCCCTGTGGTACATTGAAATGTCAGGCCCTTGGAGCACTGCCACCAGCACTGCTGCCAGGTGTGCCAAAGCAGGCAGAGCAGCACTGGAGGGGCTCTGCCAAAGGCCAAATTGCCTGGACCACCTTAAACCAGGAGCTGGCCCTCACTGTGGGCCACTGTTGTTCTCATTTCCCAATGGAAAAATGAAGGCTGAGAAAGAAACTTGCCATTCCATGAATTCATGGTTGCACAGAGGTTTTTGGCTCCATTCCATGTGTGTGTCTTTAAAATGATATACTTATTCAAGGAGATACGTATGCCTTATTCATATGTGTTATGCAAGATGCTTTAGAATCAGATGTTCTGATCTACTAATAGAAACTCACATCCCTTTGCTTTCATGTTATTCCTCCTCATTCATGAGACCACCTCCTCAAATGAACAACTCCTTTCGCGACAGGATGGCATATAAATATTTTAAACAAACAAACAAACAGACAAACAAATAAAGCTCTCAGCAAGAAAGTGTTGCTAAAACATACTTTATTAAAATTGTTTGGGAAATATGTGGGTGCTCCTTTGCTCCAAGCATGGCTGCTGCTGTCCAAACAGTCTGCCGCTCTCCAGAGCAGCCCTGCAACACGCCCACATGGCGATAGACCCAGTGGGGCACACATGCCCAGTGGCTGGCCAGCAGCGCTAGGGAATACTGGCTCAGCTGGGAGCAAGGGGCCTCAAGGGTTTCCAGGAGAGAGGGGTCATGCCACAGGGGCAGAGTAGTGAGGGAAGGTCACCACCTCCCTCAATGCTTGCTACAGAACCATGTGAATGGTGTCGGGGAGTCAAGGAGGTGAGGCAGGGAGAAAAAAGTGCCTACACTGTGTATTTGACCTCACGAAACTAGTGCTGTGGTCATGACTTCCTCCACAGAACAGCTGGGAGCTGTAATTCTGGGAAGCTGCTTTGTCCAACTTCATAGCTGGAAGCCACAGCAACAAAAAGGGTCTGGAACTGGTTGCCTTTGCAGTGAAAACATGCTCTTAAGGGATAATGGAATGGGAGCTCAGGTTCTGCCCTAGCCCACCCTGGGATACCCCCATGCAAATGGCTCCAGGCCAACTGGGGATGCATGTCCTGGGAACAGGTTATTGGAAACTCAGTGCCAAAACGATTTTTGGCCCAGACTATCAAACACAGAGGTCTAGTAGTGCTTTGGGCAGGTCTGGCATTGTTCTACAGAGTAGCAGCTGGTCCTGGTCCATTCTAGGAAGGACTCCATTTGAGTCAGAACTGTTTCACATGCCAGGATTCAGTAGACCATGTGCAGAGTGCATTTGCTTCAGCACTGAGTCACCACTTAATTCATATGAAGCATGGCAAGGGCTACATTAGCGTATGCGTCAGAACAGTGGTCCTTCTGTAGACTGGCAGAATCTCTTTGGGGTCTCTGGCAAAAGTTCTTCTATATCAGAAGCCAGACAGTTCTCCAGAAGGTAGTAAGGCCAGCTGCTACTCACAGAAGCCTTTCTGAAATTGAATTCTTGCCCTGGTCTTCTTTTTGCACAGGCTTCATGCAAAAAGCAAGTGCATATTCTTGCCACCGATTTCTCTGCTGGACCTTCAGATGCTGGGTCTGCCTCTCCTGATACTCCGTAAGTGTCAGTATCCATCCAGCTTCAGGGGTGTGATGGAGAGTATAAAAGCAAAATGCTTCCAAGGTTCCCTATAGACCACCTCTTCCCCGCACTCTGGAACCTCCAGTGACCTTGGAACTATTCAGCAACACCAGCTGGTCTGCACGTTTGGGCCATTCTACCTGCCTGCTTTCTGGCCTGAGTTAGCCATTAGTTTGTCTGAACAAGGCAGCAGCTCACATTCCTCACCCAGCCACTCCATCCAGACCCCTCAGTAGCAATGCCAGAAATCTGCCTCCTTTGACCTAAAAGTGTGTGGGAAGATCATTCCTACCTAAATGATGCATCTTCTCAGAAATGGAACTCACAGTCTTCCTAGAAAAATAGCTGTTGTGGAAGTGGATGCCTTGTCCTGGCATTGCAGAGCCCAATTTCTGCTAAGAGGCATGAAAGGCCACCACTAGAAGCAGAAGAGTGTAGAGAGCCACATTCTGATCACGGTCCCCAGGAGGATGAGCAACCAGCAGCAGGATCTAGGATCCTCCAATGGCACTGGCCCCTCTGGGAAGCTAACTCTTCATTGGCCTCTTCATCCCCTTTCCCAAGCTACACGGCACATTCAAATCAGAGAATCCGAAGTATGGCATGACAACCCAGAAACCTGATCCAAAGAAGGGGCAAGGAAGAGGTTGGGAAATGGAGAGTGTTAGAGGTATAGATCCCCACCCCCACCCACTAGCCCCATCCCCACTGTAAGGACATCAGGAGTGCCCCCCTTGGTCAGACCTCGCTGGTGACTGACCGGGAGGGAATGAGAACATCTGGGGTGGTGGGGAAGAGACACAGCTGTGGATCAGGTGACCTTTGCGAACACAGCTCTGTGATTCTAGAACAGAGAGAGGGGAGGGGGGGAGAGGCAAAAGGGAGAGAATCAGGCCGGCCTTCCAAAACAAGCACAAACAGTTCAGGTCAATGTTACATTCATAGCTGCCTTGCCCCAGTGGCAACAGGAATCAACTTTGGGGCATCCAATTCTTTAACACAGCCTTCAGTTATGTTACAGTGCACAGCCAGAAGGGCTGACAGTAGTGGACCCATGGCAGTAGTACAACCACATAGGTAATCTTTCAGGCATACTCTAACAATTTTTAAACTTGCCCAATCTGTTTTCTGTGTGTGAACATTTTTAAAAATGGCCATGTTGTGAGTTCTCATAGATGGAAATCTTTTCTTTTAATGCACGGGTGTGTTTTTCTCCTCCCAGCTCTGAACCCACAGAAGTTGCCTAGTCTTCACTTATGGCCCTGTCATGTGAATCACAGCCCTCTGTCCTCAGCTTGTCACAAAAATGGGTAAAACAACAATTTGTACTCTGGTATGAACAATGTCAGGAAATAAAATGGCACAGCAGTACAGGAAATAAAGGTTCACTTTACATTTCTATGCATTTCCTTAAATGAGGAAAATGTGATTTATGCAAATTTGCCTGGTTGGCACAATGTATTCCAGTTCCTGAATTCTTCTAGTTGCAGAATTTGAGCTGTTTTGCACCAAGCACTGCATACATGCAAGGCACCCTGACTGCAGGCTTCCTTGGAAGGATTGTGCCTGCAGCAGCCTGTGGCAATAGGGCAAGAATTGCATTCGACCCCGACTGACCAGCACCTGTCTTCAGACTCTCCTTGACCTGGGTGGGAAGAGAGGCTGGAACCCAGGTGTCGCCTGCAGCGAACCATCCCCTGCCTCCTGCAGTGGCCTGTCATCTGCAGGAGAAAGGTAGGTGCAGCCAGGGCAGGAGGCAAGTGGGCGCATACAGGGAGCAAGGGGAGCCTGAAAGAAGGTGGGCTTGGGTTTACAGAAAAGCTGTCCATGTGGTCCCACCTCCATGAACATTAAGTCTGCTCCTGAGTATTGCCAGTCTTCCTGTTCTCCATGGGATTCCCAAGAGAAAGATTCCTCCCAAGGAAAAGCACTGCCTTTCTAACATTTATCTATTGTATATATCAGCTGCACTTCCACTGTTCGCTCATCAGAGCTCTCTGTGAAGTTCTCAGAATAGAGGTATGCCATGAAACACAAAAGCAAAAATAGCTAAGGTAAAGTCTGGAATCTTTTTATAGTGCCACAGAATAAAACCCAACAGCAGTATTGGTATGAAAAACAAACTGACGGCAAAACCAAAAGAGGCTTCCTAGGATCTGAAATAGTCAGGAAGAGGGAACCTTCAGGCATTGTTAGATTACACTGCTCATCATTCTTGATCATTGGCCCTGTTGGTTAAGGAGTGATGTGAGCTGGAGCTTCTGGTTTTGGGCAGATTCACATAAGCATGCTTCCATCATCACATTGTGATTAAAAACAACAACTACTACTACTTAACTCCCATAGATAAATCCGAATTGACTGAATGCTGTTAATGCTCCAACGGGTTGGCTGGTGCATCATCATGTCTAGATTGGAAACTACTTTTCTGAAAGTTTTTTGGACTTGCTATGTTGCAACCTGGACTGACATTGACCATTTGCACCAGGAACACACTGGGCCACTGGTTATACAATTTCCTATGACACTGAAGAGCCTGGGACAGCTTAAATGTAGGGTGTAATTAAACAGAAAACTACCCGTGCTAGACAATAGTCCACTATCATGGGGGCAAAGGGACATTATGACTTCCTCTCATTTTCAGTCCTCCTCATAAATATTATTGTATACACCCAATCAAGAGTGGTTTTCTATCTATTTTAAAAAGAGGAAAATACGTTCACTTTGAAATTTAGTGGGAAATTCTGTCCAATGAACTGATTCTGAGACACAGGTACCAACAGTCAGAACAAAAGCCCTAGGAACAAAGGCTGCAAAACCTGAGTGAGAAAGGCATATTACTCCATCAAGGCTGGTTGAACCTGGCTCAGTAGCAGAGCATGCTAGAAGGTACCTCTGGTTCCTAGATGCTTTCCTGTTTAAGGTACCAGAATCTCCTGCTGGGCTCTCTGCACTCATACTCTAGAACAGGGGTCTCAAACTCAACTTACCTGGGGGCTGCTGGAAGTAGAGTCTGGGTGAGGCTGGGCCGCAGCAAGTATTCCACCACCGCGGTGGTGGAGGGCCGCTCATCCCACAGCCAGTCCGGGCGCCGCTGGTGCTTTGAAGGCCGCAGGGCCCCTCCCCCATGCCCCGCCTGTCCCGGCAATTGGCCCGCAGGCCGCAAGTTTGAGACCCCTGCTCTGGAAGATGTCTATTTACTCTTCTCAGGTGCTGCGGTATGTGTTGGAAGCCCAGCTAGTTGCAGGACAGACCCAACTGTGCAAACAACTTACAAACATAGGAAGCTGCTGAGTCAGTCAGACCTATCTCACTCAGGATTATCTATGATGATGGCCATAGATAACGCTACCCAGTCTCAAGCAGGGGTCTCTCCCAGCTTTGCCTGGACAAGCCACAGAATGAATCTGGATCAAAGCATGTGCTGTACCACTCAGCTATAGCCTTTCCCGCGGCTGAATATATGGGGCAACAATATTTGCCTTGCATCTGATCTATCATGAAGGCTATGAACCTAGCTACACAGATGGGAAATTCTGTCTTCCTCCTGACCATTGAAATAATGATTCTTCATGGAGCATTTCTGCTTGGACTCAAGCATTCTAGCTGACAGGTGGGCAACAGGTAGATCTGGACCTACTGGTAGATCTCTGTGTGATTCCCAGTAAATCAGATAGAATTTCTGAGTTTCTTGTTTTCCGACTTGCAAAAGGACTCCCCACTGCCAACTTAAATTGCTGGAAAACTTAGTGAGCACTAATCAGTTCTAGCTTACGTCATGTGTTCCTGCACTTGGAATTGTTTAATTTGAACTACAGAAAGTCTGTATCAGATTTCAGTTGGGTTGAGTCAATAAACTAAGTTGATCCCCCCAACCTGCTGTCCACCTCTTGTATCCCTTCTTGCATCCAGATGGATGGGGAATCTGGCTTTTCCTGCCATTCCCACCCAGTACCCTGGTGTCACCTTCTCTCCCCTCCATCCAGTCATTCCCACAGCCTGCACTTTCTCTCTTCTCCAGACATGCTAACCTCTGCACTGGCCACAGCTCCAAAGCTACCACAGCGTTTATGGACTGCACTGGCCACCGGTGTCAATGTTCTTCTCCCTCCTGGCTACAGAAGGAAGGGCGGCATCATACAAGGGGTGAAGTCTGATCCAAAAGGCAGTCCCCCCCCCCCAGGAGCAGGCACTTACTCGTAGGGGTGGGCCACCGCTGTGCTGCCAGGCGCTGCCAAGTGGAGAGATCGCGCTAGCTGCCTTTCCAGACCTCTTGAGAGTAGTGTAGAAAACTCCTGTTCTTCTGGGGTGTCCCTCACCTGCTACATTCCCCCCACCCCAAGAGGAGCAGCACCAGGGCAGGATAGCAGGGGACAAACATGGATGGATAGGAGAAAATGACACAGAAATTGAAACAGTTAGCCACTTGCTCATCACACACTACTTGGAGGGGGAGGGAAGAGCATGGAAGAAATAAATTAGGGACTCTTTCAGGGAACAGGATGCGAAGAACTGTTATGTGGGGTGTGGCGAGAAGGTGGCTAGTGGCACTGAAACAGTGATGCAAAAATCCCAACTGATCTAGAATTCAGGGATGAGGATCAACAACCTGGGTTCTGGCAGGGATAATAAAATCCCCATGCGCAGAGGCTCACGCCTACAGCATGACAGTATGTTGCACCTGGGTGGCAGCACTTACTTTAGGTAACAAGACCAGTTGGATCCATGCTAAACCCTAAGAAGCTGTTAAGTATCCACATGGTCTCGATCATCAACCTCACCCAGCCATGTGAACTGAGTTCTGCTGAGGAGCAGTGGTGAGGGTGAGGACCTCTTTCCTGGCCAAGGGTTGCTCCTGGTTTACAGATATGGGAGCAGAGCAAAAAAAGGGTGGAGTAAGTGTGTCCTGCGACAAGCAAACTGCAAGGCCAAGTTGACCAGGGAATCAAGAGAGAGGTAGCTTCCTTCCTTCCTTGGGGCAGCCTAGGAACAACTGCTGTTGCTTCAGCTGGCTTCTCCAGCTGAGAAGGCAGCTGGAAACAAGCTAGGGGCTGGAGGGCTTGGGTGAGCAGCCTGCCTGACACATCCCACCATCATGGCTAGAGCTGGCAAAGTGACACACCAGACTGCCAGTTCTTTCTACTCCTCACCAGAAAGATCCACTCACCTACCTGGGTTTCCCTTATGTCAACTTACCCCGAGAAATCATTGTGGTATATCTTGGCCAAGAGCCTCTGTCCTTTCCACAAATCTTTCTACCCCGCACCCTCCCATTGGCACTGGCTCCATTTCATTCTCAGCATCAGGTTCAGGCACCTCGTTCTTTAAAAACATCTCTTCTCTTCAGAGTGTGAGCCGGTATTGAAATGCTTTTTGCATAGTGGATTGTTTTTGCACAGTGGCATAGAGCAAGGCACATTTGTGCAGAAAGTGTTCGAAAGATGAAAGCAAGGAGCCAAGCCTTAGCAGGAGGAGTACTCCTGGCAAGTAGAAAAGGGTAGAGGTGAGGGAAAGGGACAGAGCAGGAACTCCAAAGGCCCAAGCAGAAGAGTGGAAAGAATAAAATGAAGAAGTCGCAAAGTACTGAGAGACCAGAAACCAACACTGCAAAAGGGCCAATGCCATGGAATGGTAATAGGCACCACTGAAGTTCTCTTTCTTGTTCTGGTTTTTCTTTTAGCTGATTTGTTCTGATAATATTCTTTGTTGCTTTTAGCCCCTGTAGTCAAGGCACTACACACAGATTTCTCAGGAGATCTCCATCCAGCACTGAGCATTAGCTTCAGCAAGGTTTCTGCATCAGGTGCCTTCCCTCCATCCTTCCCACAGTTCTCTGAAGAATGTCCTTCAGCATCTGCTCCCTCATTCTGAGCAGTGGAGTGGGAACCTAATGCGCTCTTGTGGTTCGAGCCCTCCTCCTCCTCTTCCTCCTCCCGGGTCCCTTCCTGTCTGACGTGCCTCCTCCCCTTTCATACTTGCTCAGGCTCTCTGCTCTGCTAGTCTCAGCTCCCACTTCCCTTGAGATGATCTGACCATCTCAGCTGGCTTTGAAGCCTGCTGAACATTTAGGCAACAGCATCTTCATGCTGAACCCCAGTATCCCTCCATTTCCACAGATGAGGCTTACTTTGAACCACCTACCCCTGCTGCCTTGCAAACTCCTTGGAGTTCCCCACCACCACTGCCACCTCTCATTCTGCTCCAAAGTTAGTCTGGAACCTGTCGAGTTCAGTGTCTCCACACAGAGAAAATGAATCCACTATTTCTAATGCTACACCAGTGTCTTCTCTGGAAGAGGTGAGGCTTGCCAGGCTCCAGACCACACACCAAAATGACAGTGTGTGCAGGAGCAGACCCTCAGCCAGCTGCCAGCACTGCCCTGCCCGCTTCACAGAACAGTCTAGCCCAGCATTCCAGGCAGAGCTAGGCAGCCAAGTCCAGCCTCCATTTTAATTTCCCACAGGGCCCAACACAGCGTTCCTCCAGGGGGCTATGGGAAGTTGAAGTGAGGGCTGCCACTGCTACTGCCACCCCCTGGCACTGTCATGCAAAGCCACCAGGGACCATTAACAGAAGAGCAGCCAACCAGAGGGCATTTTGTACATGGCCCCATGTGTGTGTGTGTGCATGTGTGGACTGGTGAGACCAGATGGCATGCAGGGGTGCATCAGGGATGCCCTTACCTGAGGCACATTTAACTTTTCAAGAGAACTGTCAATGCAGGGCAAGCCCACAATTGGGGCACTGGGCACATTCTCAGGTGGGAGAGCTTTCTCAGCCACAAATGAGGTGCTCTGGAAATTGTTGACCACACAGGTCACCTGCCAGAGAGAGAGGAGAACTACTTGAGACCACCCTCTGCCTGCCTTTGGGTGACATATTATTCTGTGCTAGAGGAAACATGCAGCATCAGTTTTCAACTGTCCATGTCTTTATCATGTCCCAACCATTTCTTTGCCTCTGCCCTTCAATTTGCTCTGACTACAAGCCCTTGGGGCAGGACTCCCTTCTCTATTTAGGATCAAGTTGCACAGATGAACCTACAAACAGCCTCTACATTCTGGATAACTTTGCATGTCATGACAACCAACCCTAAGAATAAGCTTCCTGGGGTGGGTTGCTGTGAGACAACCACTGACAGACCACTGGGCTATCGCAGGCTGTCTCCCACTCCTTCCCCGCTGGTCTTCCAACCAGTATCCCAAGGCTAAAGCCACCTTGCCTCCACTCTCTGCTGTGACCATAGCCAAGGCTTGCAAATGATCTCATTCGTGCAAATAGGGCTTTTAAAAAATAAAACCAAATGCTGGGCAGCCACAGGCAGGTGGGGTACCTTGAAGGAGCTGGTCATAACTTCCAAAACAGGGTTTGTGAAAGGTGATTTCATAGCCACTTCTTGTGATCTCCAGCAAAAAGTAAAAAATAAAAAAATGATTGCGTGGAGTTGTGGGGAGCCCAAAAGTATTCATGGTGGCAGTGTGGAAGGGGAAGAGCTTCTGCCAGCCACCTTCAAGTGCTGCTTGGGCACTTTTGAGGAGGCTGGCAATGGGGGTCACCTCCTAGTTGCTTGGCAGGAGAGTTTGCTGCTCTTGTGAAGGGACTTCATAGCAGTTCGTATTGAATTATGATGGGTGGCATCATCCATATTCAGATGACACAAGCAAGAGTCGTGGGTTAAACTAACTGCAACTAGCCATGGGCTGTTAGGGTGGCTTATGAACGAAATGGAAAGGCTTAAGCAGAGAAACTTCTCCCTCACGCCTTCAGTCAAATAAGTTACCCCCCCCCCCCGCCGTGACCGCATTTCAGTAAATGCTGGTCAGCGCTTGGGAAACTGCAGTCTGCTCTGCCATGTTCCGTTGCCCCCAGTGCTTTCCTGTGCAGGAGCACCACCTGCTGGTATTTAAACAAACACGCTTTAGTGCTGGCACACTGACTCTCACGAATCTACCTTATTTCCCCGAAAAGAAGACCTAACCAGAAAATAAGCCCTAGCATGATTTTTAAGGGTGCTCGTAATAAAAGCCCTACCCTCAAAATAAGCCCCAGTTAAGATCGTCAGCCAGACGGACGGGGAAACACAATAGTACATCCATTGCAACACATGATGGACGTATTTAATTATAAAATAATAATGTGAATATATAATTAAATATAAATATTATTATTGACATTAATACTTAAAATTACTGATAATATAAATTATAATTAAGTATTTGTAAATAACCAAGTGGGCGCCTTTGGAGGAGAGGTAAATGCCTATGTAAACAGATGACCTCGAGAGTCATTGCCAAATGACCAGTCGGAGTACAGACACAATGCACAAATAATGTGCGCACTTGACAATGAACGGACGTGTTTCATAATTCAATACATCATGTGTTGTAATAGACGTACTTAATGCACTCCTGTCTTGTAAGTCTTCAATTAAGACTTGATTTAATGGTAGATTTAAAGGGAATAATATTTTGACCCCCAGATAAGATGTGTGCAAAAAGAAAGAGCTATTCCATCGAGTACAAGAAAGGAATCATGGAGGACTCTTGGGGAAAGAATCTTATGGCTTGCATAAGGAAAAAATAAGACATCACCTGAAAATAAGCCCTAATGCTTCCTTAGGAGCAAAAAGTAATATAAGACCCGGTCTTATTTTTGGGGAAACATGGTAGGCAATGTGTAGAGCTGCAGAATGGCTCCAGCAAGGGCTGCACAGGCTCTGCTGGCATGAGCAATGGCAGGCTTGTGTAGCAGAGACGTGGCTTGTTCCCTATGAGGAGCTTTAATAGCGCCCCACACAGCACTGCACCCATGGATGAACTTTTATCCTTTTCCTACAGCCTGATATCTTGCCCTGAAGAGCAGCTTTTGACATCTGAGGGGTCTGTGCTCTGCCCTGCATGCCCTGTGCATGAAGCACCCCTTCGTGCACCCCACAGAAGGCTACTTCAGGAAACAGGAGACTTACCAGAAACACAGCAATGGCCCCACCTGTGAGGAACCCAGCCAGCACATCAGACCAATGGTTGCGGTACTCAGCAACACGCACCACGCCCACCAGGAAAGCAGGGCAGAGGAGGGCCAGGCACAGGGAGGGTTTGGCCAAGCGGGAGCCCTTCAGCTGGAAAACCAGTGTCACGTACATCTGCAGGGAGCAGGGCAAGCAACAGAGGACATTGAGCAGGTGGGCACTGGGAAGAGCTGCAGGCCATCTTGAAGAAATGTGCAGCAAAGTAGCAGAAATTATACAAGGCACAGCTGGGATGCATGTAATGTGAAAGACAATGGTGCACATTTCTTACAACAATCCTTATCTCTCATGGGCCTCCCTTCTGCTATCACCCCCGCCCCTGCTCAATCCCCCAACCAGCAGCCATTTCTAACTTCCAGGGCCAGCCCCACAACTAAGTTGAGTAAGGTAGCTGCCTCAAGGGGAGATGTTAGAGGATACAATTGTATACAACCCACAGTCCATTCTGCACCCCATAAGTTTCAGGTAGTGGAAGCTGAGAGTGTGGTGGTGTGGGCAGAAGCTGGCTGGGTTGAAGTTCAACTGTACTTCAACACTGGCTAACAGGACAGTGTCCACTGCACCTGAAGCAGTCCTTCTACACCTTCCTGCCAACTCCCTGCCACCCACTACCTCACTCTGTCAAATGACAGGGCTGGCCCAATCCACCCCTGTCCTTCATGCCATTCCTTGCCTCTTCTTTGAATTTCCTTTTTGGACAGCAAAGGAATCAGGTTCACCTGGGATGTACATACGGAGTGAGCTGAGCACCATGGCTCTAAGAAAAGCCATTGTGAATCAGTCCAGCTGCTGAAAGGATCCCACAACAGCATCCTTCAATCCAAGTTCCCCAGCAACTGTTCTGCTGGTTCACTGCCCCAGTACTAGAGGTAGCATTTAGTCAGCTGGACTAATGCTATTGATAGACTCCTCCTCCATGAGTTTGTCCAGCCCCCTTTTCAATCCAGCCAAGTTGGTGGCTATTGCTACAATTTGCACAAGTATTTCTGCAGCTTAACCATATGCTATGTGAAGAAGTACTTTATTGTATCCATCCTGATACTCCAACCAATCAGGTAGGTGCGTTCTAGTCTTTGAGAGACTCTTTATTCTCCATAAGAGGCATAATTTCGTCCACTTCATATGTTCCCCTACTCTCCTCTTTTCTAAACTAAACAATTTCAGTTGTAACCTTGTCTCATAGGGAAGTTGTGTCAGCCTCTTCATCATTTTAGCAGTTTTTTCCTACACTTTTCCCAGCTCTATAATATCCTTTTTAGGTGCACTGGCCAGTATAAAGTAGTGTATGTGTGGTCAAGCCATAGATTTTTATAATGGCATTATGATTTTGGCAATTAAAAATGTATCCTAATTATGGAAACATGGAATTTGCCTTTTTCAAAGCAGCTGGGCAATGGAGTTGGTATTTCATCAAGTTGTTACCACAATCCCAAGATCTCTTTCTTGGTCAGTCATTGATACCTCAGATCCTATCAGTTTATACTTGAAGTTGAGATTTTTTTTTTTTTTTGCCTTAGTGTGTATTTCTTAGCACTTAAGAAAGAAAGAAAGAAAGAAAGAAAGAAAGAAAGAAAGAAAGAAAGAAAGAAACTGCATTTCCTCTTTTGATGCCCATTCTCCCAGCTTGTGGAGATCTTTCTGGATCTCCTCACAATCCCTTTTGGTTTAACCACTTTACACAGTTTGTATCATCAGCAAACTTAGTCACTTCATTGCTCATTCCCAATTTGAAATTATTTATGAACAAATTGAATACAGATCTCTGTGAGACCCCACATCACTCACTCAGGAGAATTTACCATTTATTTTTATGCTGTGTTTTCTGTTCTTTATTCCATGACTGCTAAGTTTGCTCAAGAGTTTCTGGCAAGGGACTTTGCCAAAGGCCTTTTGAAAATCTGAGTAACCATTGTCTTCCAAATTACCCTGTCGACATGTTTATTGAGATTCTAGGTTAGTGAAACAGGACTTACCTTTACAGAAGCCATGCTGATTCCTTCTCATCAAGTTTTGTCCTTCTACATGCTTACTAAGCTTATCTTTAATAATGCCTTCAAGAACAGCTATTAAGCTAAGCAGCCTGTAGTTTCCTAGATCCCTCCTGAATCCATTTTTAAAAACTGGTGCTACACTGGATTGTTTCTGCTCCTGGACTGTATAGAGGCATGGTATATATTTTTATAGATTTTTGTTAGAACAGCAGCAATTCTTCAAGAACTCTAGGATAGAGAACACCTGGGTCTGGTGTTTTATTGACATTTGTCAATAAGGCTAAGAATTTAATCTTTTGCCACCACTATCTATCTAAAGCAGACCCTCAGACTTCCTTCCTGAAAACATCAGCCTAGTCACAGCTGCCTGTCCTGTATCCTCTCTAGTGAAGACAGATGAGATGATTTCATTCCACTTCTTTCCAATCTCCTTATCCTCCCTCTCATGCTCCTTTCACTTCATTGTCATCCAATGGCCCAACTGCCTCTCTGTCTGGTTTCCCATTTCCGATTTAAAGAATTCCCCATTGTTGGCCTTGATCTTTGTGCAGGGTCCCTGTGGTCATGGGGTGGGCAGTTTCTGTTTGCTCAAGTCTGATTTCCATCTGCTCGTGGCAGCCAGCACCAGGACTGGGTCAGGAAACAATCTAGTGAGGACACTGGTCATACATCAGTAGGAGTTGCCTTAAAAAGGGGAAATGATTTACTGGCTTCTGACTGCATGCAGATGTTTTAGCTAATGCCACCACCCTAATGGTAGCATTGCTAAACAAGTGGTGTGTACCTTGTTTTTCACACTACAACTCTCACTGTCCCCATAGCAAGCCAGAGGCCATGGTGGCAGGGAAAGATGGGAATTGTAGATCATCTCTGGAAAGCAACAGATTAGGAAAGGGCAGCTGTGTTACTTATCACAGCAAAAACCACAAAGGGTCTTGTGGCATCTTAAAAACTAACACATTTTCTGTTAAAAGCTTTCATGGAAATATTTAAGTAGCACTTAAAACTTTTAAAGTCCCCTCAAGCAGGATGTGTGAAACAAACTGCTTCTCTGTTATATGTCTTTTGGATGAACAAATTCTGTTAACCTTTGTAAATCCACATGTTGAGACTAGAGAAGCTCTCTGAACTTCAGCTGTTGCTGCTTCCACTGTCTGGAGTGTTAGAGGGTTGGAAGGAAACTGAACAAGGTCCTGGCTGGGTGAGAAAGAGGAGAGACTAACCCAGGGGTGCAATCCCTTAGCCCAGGTGCCAGATCTGCCCTCTGGGTTTCTACATTTGTTCCCCTCACCCTGGGATACTCAGACAGACACATTCACTTCCCCAGGCCTTACTTTCTTTCTCCTCACTTTGTGGTTTCAGGGCTGGCATCAAAGTTATGCCTGGTCAGACACTTGCTAAGGGTCCACAGCACAGCAGGGGCCTCTGGACAAGAGCCTCTTGCACTTGTTCCTCCTCCTCCCCCCCCAGTGCACCTGCTCAGTCAGCTGCCTCTTGCCCTGGCCTGGTGAAAAGGAGAAACAGGAGGTGCTGCTTGCTGGCTTGTTTATTGGCTCGGTGCCTGTCATGCAGCGAGGGAGGCAAGGATGAAAATGAGAGCGAGAGGAGCTACTTGCTGATGCAGTGACAACCTGTGGCCCACTAATGATGGCTTGCCCAAAGGCCTTCAAAAACCTGCAGCTGGTGTTGGGTGGAGCCACATCTTTTGCCCAGTTCTCCTGGCATGTCCCTGCCATTCTAAGAGGCTGGAATTGCTACCATATGGCCGAATTACTAGCAATAAGAGATGCAAGCCAAAATATGGGGGATTCCCCATGTTTTGGCCCCACCCCTTTAAGCCTTCACATTCTGCCCACCACTGGAGCATAGCCCCCAAGAGCTGCTCCGAATGGAATTCAGTCTGAAATTTGGTCTGAAAGAGGCTCAGCACCCCTGGACTATGCTTTCTCCAAGGTATGCTGGTTTTTTAATTGGCTTGTTTTATGGACCCCTTAACAGCTTTTGAATACAAAACCACTAGGAAGTGATGGATTATGGTCTGCCTGAGATGCACATCCCAATTATTTAATCCTTTATTTCCAACTGACGGGTCAGGCTCTTTCCTCAGCAGTTAGACTCCAGAATTGTTTTCTTGACCTTTGCCACCAAAAGTAGGCTTTCTTCCCCATGCTTTTCTGCATGTCCACTAGAGGGCACTCCAGATCTCCAAGTAAGTGTACTGTGGCATGGGAAAAGAGAACCAGATCTGTTCCTCCTACACTCCTCTCTGTGTTCACACTTTGGGGGTATATCTTTGAAGAGCCTCTGTCCACACACTTTGCTCCAGGGTGATATGAAAAGGGGAGTGATGCTGAGCCCCATTTGCAGGGGAGCGGGTAGCTCAGTTAACTGTGCCTACTTAAGTTCCATCACATCTGCTCCCTCTTTCCCCAGCATCCATTTCCAGTCCCTCAGCCCAACAGCCATCCCATACCACAGTATAGGCCACAGCATAGGCGCTGAGAGCAGCATCCTTGGAGGGGAAGGCCTTGCGGGCAGCGGCAATGAGGGCAGGGTTCCCAGTGCAGGCTGCCCTATCTGTGACGTAGACGGTGCCGGGCGGTGGCTGGCAGCCCAGCACAGTGTAGTTGGGCCGACACACAGAGAGGAAGTGCGGCGTCTGGTTGCCGGTCACCACTTGGCCTGCATTTGCAAAGATGGTGGTAGTGAAGAGGCCAAAGGAATAGATGCCTGTGGAAGGAAACAGAAAGCAATGAAGCAGAGTTCCAAGTTTGCTCAGGGGTGGAAGCAGATGGGTTGCTGGCAATGCTAATGTGAGATGGAGAAGGCTGTAGTCCATGGCAAGGGCAGCAAAAGGGGAAGGTCATCCTTCACTTACCCAAAAAGCGAATGATGCGGCGTAGAAGGGGGTTGAAATAACAGCACTCGCCTGAGATTATTGTTTTCTCTGCACGTCTTTCTGGCTGGAGGAAGAAAGCGGCCAATTCTCCAACAAAAATCTGAAAAGGGGGTGTAGGCAGAGAAAGAGCAAGGGTAAGACTTGTCCTAGCTGAGGCCAGTTCATGTCATAATCGCTAAACTAAAGTAAAACCTATAGGGGAGGGAGGTGTGCAGCATGGCATACCATCACCTGGTAAAGACATATATTTCAACAGCGAAAAAACCTCAAGCAGGGCCCAACACCAGTCTCCCAAAAAACGTAAGAAGAAAACCAGGCCACAGCCAGAATGAACTTCAACCATGAACTGAGAATGAACTGAGCGCTACACTAGTGCTCAGAGAATGGGAAACAAACGACAAAAACTTGGGCTCATAGTACATGAGAGCATTTATGATCTTATAAGAATAACTGAAATTTGGTGGGATGACTCCTGGCAGGAGACCGCGCCCGCGCCCGAGAACCGCACCGCGCCCAAAGACCGCGCCGCGCACGCGCCCGAAGACCGCGCCGCGCACGCGCCCGAAGACCGCGCGAAGACCACGCCGCGCCGCCGACTCCGCCGCTACCTGACTGCCCTGCCACGCCCCTGCACACGTGGCAGGCGTGCCCGGACGGGGTGGGGCGTCGGGCGGCCCGCGGCTACAAAGCACCAGCAGCGGCCGGGGCCGGCGGCCAAAGGGCGTCGGCCAAAGGGCGGTTTGCCGCCGTTTGGGGGGGGCTGTTCGGGGGGGGGGGCTAGGCTGGCCAGGGGACTTGCTCTTTTGTTGTGGCAGTCCCTTCTGTTGAACGGCCAATTTTAAATGTTTTATAATTTTAAAGTGTTTTAACTTGTTTTTATGGAGTCGTCCCTGGCCATGTTGCCGCCTGAGTTTCCTGGGGAGCGCACTGGCGCTGCCATTGGTGTGGTGATGGGCAATGGACGTAATAGCGGTGGGGGCTTAACGTGTCTGCATAGAAGAAGGAGGGACAGATGGCTGACACCTGTCCCTACTTCTGGTTTTGCTCCCAGCCAGAAGGTGCCAGGGAGTCTTGTCAGTCGCCCCTCGGGCCTGACGGTGCTGTTGTTTAATGCCAGGTCGGCCAATAACAAATCTGCCCTCATCCATGACTTGATTGTGGATGAGGGGGCCGACCTGGCCTGTATAACGGAGACCTGGGCGGGAGAGGGGGGGGGATGTTGCCCTCTCTCAATTGTGCCCGCCCGGGTATATGGTCCAGCACTGTTCACGGCCGGAGGGGAGGGGAGGGGGGGTCGCTTTGGTTTACCGGGCCTCCATCACTCTCACGGGACTTCCTGTCCCTTCGAGACCAGGGCTGGAGTGTCTCTACTTGGTGTTGGGCGACCGAGACAGATTGGGGATTCTGTTGGTGTACCGTGCACCCTTCTGCCCAACAGTCTCCCTGCCTGAGCTGACGGAAACGGTCTCGGACCTGGTGTTGAGGACCCCCAGGATGCTGGTCCTGGGGGACTTCAATATCCATGCCGAGGCTAGTTTGACCGGGGCGGCTCAGGACTTCATGGCTTCCATGACGGCCATGGGGCTGTCTCAACATGTCACCGGCCCGACCCATGAACGTGGACACACTCTGGACCTGGTTTTCTCGACGGGGCAGGAAGAGGGTGGTCTGAGGGTGAGGAATTTATGCTTGACTCCCCTGTCATGGTCAGATCACTTCCTAGTGAGGTTTGTGCTCGAGAGCGACATCTCCCTCTGCAAGGGTGCAGACCCGATTGTGTGGGTCCGCCCCCGGAGCCGGATGGATCCAGAAGGATTCCTGAAGGCTCTGGGGGAGTTTCCGGCTGACAAGACGGGTGCTCCTGTCGAGGCTCTGGTTGAACTGTGGAATGGGGAGATGACCAGGGCTGTAGACACGATCGCTCCTAAGCGTCCTCTCCCATCGGGCAGAGCCCGCTCTTCCCCTTGGTACACTCCAGAATTGAGGGCAATGAAGCAGGTTGGGAGACGGCTAGAGCGTAGGTGGAGGAAATCACGTGATGAATCTGACCGAACACACTTAAGAGCCCACTATCGGGCCTATGCTGTGGCGGTGAGGGCGGCGAAAAAGAGACACTTCTCCGCTTCCATTGCCTCCTCACAATGCCGTCCGGCGGAGCTCTTTCGAGTGGTGCAAGGCCTGGTTCACCCAGGGCCAAAGGAAGAGCTGATTCCACCCTCAAAGGCCCGCTGTGACGACTTTGCCGAGCATTTTAGGGAGAAAATCGCTCAGATTCGTCACGAGCTGGATTCCACTATTGATTCAGAGGTTTTAAGGGAGACACCAACGCTACCGTCTGGTCCAGAATTATTGGATGAATTTCAGTTATTGCGGCCCGATGATGTGGACAAGGTGCTTGGACGAGTACGTCCTACCACTTGCCTTCTGGACCCTTGCCCGTCTTGGTTAATAAAGGATTCCAAGCACGGGATTGGAACCTGGATCTTGGAAGTGGTTAACGCTTCTCTGAGGGAGGGTCGGGTGCCTGCTCCTTTAAAGGAGGCGGTAGTCCGACCGGTCCTGAAGAAGGCGTCACTGGATCCAGGGATGGCCGCTAACTATAGACCAGTGGCCAACATCCCGTTTCTGGGCAAGGTGTTAGAGCGAGTGGTGGCGGGACAACTCCAAGCACTCTTGGATGAAACTGATTATCTGGACCCATTTCAGTCCGGCTTCAGACCCGGGTACGGTACTGAATCTGCCTTGGTCGCCCTGTACGATGACCTGTGCAGGGAGAAGGACAGGGGGAGTGCGTCCCTGTTGGTTCTCCTGGACCTCTCAGCGGCTTTCGATACCATCGACCATGGTATCCTTCTGGATAGGCTGGCGGGATTGGGGGTCGGAGGCACCGCTTTGCGGTGGTTCCGCTCCTATCTCAACGACCGATTCCAGAAGGTGGTGTTGGGGGACTATGGCTCTGCGCCATGGCAGCTTTGCCATGGGGTACCGCAGGGTTCCATTTTGTCCCCTTTACTGTTCAATATCTACATGAAACCGCTGGGAGAGGTCATCAGGAGGTGTGGGCTGCGGACCCATCAGTATGCTGATGATACCCAGTTCTACCTCTCGTTTTCCACCAATCCAGGTGAGGCAGTGGCTGTACTGAACCAGTGCCTGGCCGAGGTAATGGGCTGGATGAGGGCCAATAAACTGAAGCTCAATCCAGACAAGACGGAGGTCCTGTTGGTTGGCGGTTCGGGCTTCGGAGAAGGTGACCTGAACCTTGTCCTGAATGGGGTTGCACTCCCTCCTAGGGACAAGGTCCGCAGCTTGGGAGTGCTCCTCGACCCGGAGCTTTCACTTGAAGCTCAGGTGACAACAGCGGCGAGGAGCGCTTTCCTCCAGCTTCGGCTGATTCATCAGCTGCGCCCCTACCTGGAGTACGACTGCCTTGCAACAGTGACTCATGCGCTGGTGACTTCCCGTCTTGACTTCTGTAACGCGCTCTACGTGGGGCTACCCTTGAAGACGGTCCGGATACTTCAATTGGTTCAGAATAGAGCTGCCAGGCTGCTGACGGGGACTGGACGTTATGTTCACATGACACCAGTTCTCCGTCAGCTTCACTGGCTCCCCATTGAAGTCCGGGCCCAATTCAAGGTGTTGGTAATGACCTATAAAGCCCTAAACGGCTTGGGTCCTGGTTACCTGAAGGAGCGCTTACATCCATATTTGCCCAGTCGCCCCCTGAGATCGGCGGGAGAGGCCCTTCTCCGGGAGCCCTCCGTGAGAGAAATTAGGAGGGTGGCTACTCGGAGAAGGGCTTTCTCAGCGGTGGCGCCTAAGTTATGGAATGCGCTCCCCAGAGAGGTCCGCCTGGCGCCGTCGTTATTTGTTTTTCGGCGCCAGGCTAAGACCTTTTTATTTAAGCAACATTTTAAATGCTAAATACAATTGAATTTTATCTGGCCAGGGCGGCTTATTTTATAATGTGAGTTTTAATTAAGATTATTTTATATGGATTTTAACTTGTTTTATCTATGTTGTAAGCCGCCCCGAGGCTTCGGCGAATGGGGCGGCATAAAAATGTTTTAATAAATAAATAAATAAATGACTCACATGTCTGGAACTCTACAATTGAAGGATACAACCTGTTTGAGAAAAATGGAAAGGACCAAAGGGAGGTGGAATCACACTATACGTAAGAGACACATATATCTGCAAAGAAATACAAGAAGAGGAACTTAGTAGCATCTGGCTTAATTTAAAGGGAGCAAAAAATAAAAAAACATAGTTATTGGCCTCTAATACTGACCAGCCAGTCAAAAAGAAGAGAAGGATGCAATCTTCAAAAAAGATGCAACTTGCCCCAATTTCCAAGAAGAACAATGTGGTCATGGGGGACTTCCATTTCCCTGATATATGCTGGGAGACAAATTCTGCCAAGCATGGCCCCTCCAAGAGACTCCTGACATGCGTTGCCGACAACTCTCTCCAGCAGAAAGTAGAGGAAGGCACAACAGAATAAATTATCCTCGATTTAGTATGAACAGGGATGGATTGGTGGTGAAAATAACAGCCATGAGAATTCTGGGGGACAGTGACCATATGATACTTAAATTCTCAATTATAAAGGATACAAAGGGTAACTGGAGCCAGACAAGCATCCTGGACTTCAAGAAAGTCAACCTTAATGAACTCAGAAAGATGATAAGTGAAGTGTCATGCCAACATACTCTTTAAGGGGAAAGGAGTCCAAGAGGGATGGGAAATCTTGAAAAAGAAGATTCTCCAATTACAACTACAAACAATTCCATCAAGTAAAAAATGTAGAAGACAGCAGAGGAAGCCCACATGGCTCCACAAAAGGTTAAATGACAGCCTGAAAGAAAAAAAAGAACGTGTACAGGAAGTGGAAACAGGGTCAGGCCACAAAAGAAGAATATAAACGAATAGCAAGGAATTGCATCAGGAAGGCTAAAGCAGGAAATGAACTGAGAATAGCAAGGGATGCTAAGCACAGCAAGAAAGCCTTCTTCAGATACATTCAGAACAAAAGACATGAGAAAGAGAAGGGTGTCCAGCTACTTAAAGTAGTTGGCAGAGTGGATGACAGATGACAAAGAAAGGCAGAGGCGCTCAATTCCGACTTTGCCTCAGTCTTCTCCCACAAGGAAATCTGCAATCAAGAGGAAGTACAAGCTGAAAGGGAGAGATGGCAGCTCAAGATTGACAGAAATATGGTCAAGGAATATCTAGATGGAATAAACACATCCAGATCTTCAGGACCCAATTAACTCCATCCCAGAATCATAAAAGAGCTATCAGAGGAACTCTCAGAATCACTGGCTATTATCTTTGCTAAATCTTGGAAAATGGAAGAAGTGCCAGACAACTGGAGAAGGGCTAATGTTGTTCCTATCTTCAACAGGGAGAAAAAAGATGAACCTGGGAACTATAGACCAGTTAGTCTGACATTAATCTCTGGAAAAATTTTGGAGCAAATTATTTAAAAATCTGTCTGCAAGCATCTTGAACAAAATGCAGTGCTTAATAGAAGCCAGCATGGATTTATCAAAATATATTTAATCTCATTTTTTGACTCGGTAACCTCCCAAATGGACATAGGGAATACTGTGGACATAATCTACCTTGATTTTAGCAAAACTTTCAACATGGTGCCACACAACATTCTGATAAGCAAATTAGCAAAACCTGGACTATTAGGAGGATCCAAAATTGGCTGCTGAATCGGACACAAAGAGTGCTTATTAGTGGCACCTTCTAAAATTGGAAGGAGGTAACTAGTGGGGTGTCAGGGGTTCAGTTCTGGGCCCAGTGCTCTTCAACATGTTTAATATTGATTTGGGTGAGGAAGTACAAAGAAAGATAATCAGATTTCCAGATGATACAGAACTGGATGGAATAGCAAACATTCTAAAAGGCAAAATGAAGATCCAGGTAATCTTGATTAACTTGAACACTGGGCTGAAAACAACAGAATGAAATTCAATAAAGACAAGTGCCAAGTCCTCTACCTCTAGAGAAAAGAAACCAAATACATAAATACAAGATGGGGAATACATGGTTCAACAGAACTGAAAAAGAGAAAGATCTTGGCGTAATTGTGGACAATAGACTAAATATGAGCCAACAATGTGATGCAGCTGCCAAAAGGGCAAATGCTATTTTGGGATGCATTAACAGAATATTACTTCCAAATTACAAGTAGTAGTTCCCTCATACTCCTCACTAGTCAAACCCTGGAATACTGTGTCCAGTTCTGGGCAGCAAGATTTGAGAAAGATGCAGAAAAATTAGAAAGGGTCTAGAGGAGGGCAACAAAAGTGATCCAGGATTTGGAAACACTGCCCTATGAGGAGAGACTGAGGGAACTGGGCATGTTCAGCCATGAGAAGGGAAGACTAAGGGGGGGACTTGGTATCCCTTGGTACCTCAAAGGCTATCACAAAGGAAGGTCAAGATCTCTTCTTGCTGATACCAGAGTGCAGGACACCAAAGAATCATTTCAAACTTATACAACCCAGATTCAAACTGGATATCAGGAAAAGCTTCCTCAGTTTCAGAGCAATATGGCAGTGGAACCAGCTGCCTAGTGAGCTGGTGGGCTCTCCCACACTAAAGATATTCAAGGCAAACTTGACAGTCATCTGAGAGGGATGGTGTAAATTGGTGCCCTGCAACAGCAGGGATTGGACTCGATGGCCTTCATGACCCTTTCCAACTCTACTATTCTATGATTTTATGCTCAGGCACTGCAGTGTTGATTTCTAGAAGTGGGTTTTAACATGGAGGCATACCAGTCTTGTGAATCTAATGAATGTATCTAGCAGGGTTGGAAGATGGGACTCCTTCTTTCCCTTTGGCATTTCTGAAATTGCAATGGCAAAAACATACTATGGTATCAAAATGGCAGCTTTCTACTTGCCTGTTCTTCTGCTTGGTAAATCCAGACCAGCAGAGAGCAGAGGCAGGTGGGCCCCACTGAAGTGCCTGTCTGGCCCAAGTGAAAGAGCCCACTTGCTTTTCTTTCCCTCCTCCCAATGCAGTGGCAGGTTGCTCTTACTAGTGCTCAGAAATGATCCAAAGAAGAGGGCTTTTGAAATTTGGATGAGGACTGGGGGCTGCCCAGTCCTGTTTGTTTCAGTGTCACTGCATAGTGTTATTCTTTAGGAATGTAATGCTGGCAAGAAGGACATTGAGCAGAAAAGGCAGAGACTTCCTGAGAAAGGTTCCCTCAAAGACCACAATGTGAGTTCAGGGGAGACTTGCCCCACTTGCCGCAAACACTTGCCTGCTGTAACCACTTTTGAAGCTGGCTAGTGAGCTGCTGTTAGCAAGACCCTCCAAAAGGCTGAGCTAGACACCCCCCATCATCCTGTCTGCTGCAATCAGTCAGGAAGGAGGCACGGAGAAAGCTGAGCCAGAATGCTTCAGGACACAAACTGACACAACCGCTCTTGCAGTTCACCACTTCTTCACAGTCTTCACAAAACAGATGGAGTCAAAAACAAAAAAACAGATGGGCGTTCACAAGCCCCAACTGTGCCCAGTCATCCAATGACAGACTCAGGCTGGGCCTGAGGAGCTGACTGGGGAAGTCCCTCCCCTTAACAGAGACTAGGAGGGGAGGGGCAAGGGAACTGGCAGTCGGGCTTGTTAGGTGGGGAGAAGGAGGGCGCCTGAGAGAAAGGGAAGGAACCTTAGCCTTCCTTAACCTGGCCCTCTCCACGTATGCTGGACTGTCACTCCCAAGACACCTGGGGGCATCAGGTTGGGGAGGTATGAGCTTGATGATTTGAACTAAAGCTGTTGCTTTCACAATATGACAGGGTTCAGACAGCAGGTTAACCCACAGTCAAGGGCTAAGTATGAATTGAGTCATCACTGAACTGGGTTGTTGTTGAGTTACCCAGCACAGGTAACAAACTATGGTGAACAACCTCCACAACACAACCCAAAAACAAACCATGGGTTCTTTCCATGGGTTGTCCACTGTTAACAAGCCATGGTTTGTTAGTGCGGCTGGGTTCAGAAAACATGATAATTTGCATTTCAAGAACAACCCATGGTTCAAAACAACCCAGCTCTAACCATGCTCAACATGTGAGTGTGGGTTATCATGTTGTTTGAACCCATTCATAGGATACCTAGAAATGGTGGCAAGAATGTTTCTTTTAAGCTTGCTTGCATGTTCTATGTGTTACCTAGTCTGCCTGACAGAGAGTTCTTTGTAACTGTGGCATATTCTTACATCAGTAGAAACAAGACCATGAAGAGCTATCATGTGATCTAACATTTTTCTTTTTGCAATGCTTGGTACCCAGATGAAAAGAAGACTGCATTTTGGTACTGCAGCTAATGGAGCAGATAGTCAGAGGGAGCCGGTCCTCTGTGGACGGCCAAATGAGCCTGCCCAGCCCCAATGGAGCAGAAAGAGTAATGCCATGAAGAGGACCTGACCACCTGCAGCAGCAGTCAGGCCATGTATGATATGACTTGAGGGGTGTCAAAAAGTAGCAGCTGCATCCCTTTTCTTTCTTTGCTGGGGTCAAGGAAATAGGGGGAAAGTGGGAGTGGGGAGGTGGGAGGGAGGGAGGGAGGGAGAGAGACAGAGTGATAATGTGTACAAGCATGGTGACAAACAGGGATGGAGGTGAGAGAGGAAGAAGGAAAAATTATTCCAAGGAGGGGAAAAAAGATCATAAAAGAATTAAGAACTGAAGGCAACTCAACAGAAGTAGTAAGGACTGAAAAAGGATGGCTGATACAGGTCCTTTAGAGTACTAGTATAGGCCTCTGATCATGACTGCAAGGTTCTTGGGGGACATTTCCCACTCTCCTGGACAGGAGAATGTAGATTAATTTCTATGGATACAGCATCTATTGTGGGACTACAACCAGGAGGAAAAACAAGCAGCTGGTCAATTGGAACCCTAACCCTTATAACAGGAGCAGAAGGTCAGTAGAATAAGTTACTGCAAGAAAATATCAGCTTGGTTTCTGTTTCCCCACCACTACCACCATCATTACCCAGAAACCTGCTATCTGGAGCACTTTCCTTCTTTCAAGGCACTGCCAGCAAGATGCCAACAAGAAATGACAGCTGGTGCAAAGTGGAAGGCAGTTGGATTTTGATGGCGATGGAGTCAAGCATGAAGCTTGTACAGTGGACAGTGGAGACAGTCTCTGGAGAACATGACACAAACTTAGCTCAGACCTACTGTGCTTGCACCTCTGTACAGGTCTTTTCTGCATATTAATCTATGACACATGGTATACTGGTTAGAATGTTAGACTAGACTTGGAGAAACCCAAGTTCAAATATCTTCTCAGCCACTGGCTCACTGGGTGACTGTAAACCAATCTCTGTGCCTCAGCTTAGCTTACCTCCCGCACAGGGTTATTGTGAGGATAAGAGTGGGGAGGGATGATGGGACAAGCAGATAGTAAATAACCAAAATTGTCCTGGAGCACTGTATGTTCTCAGAATACCAGTGCAAGTGCATGGCTCAGTAATATAGGTGAATAAGCAGTATTTGTACATTAAAAGAATAGATATTTGCATGACAGTTGGGCAAGATTCAGACAAATATTTCTGAATGCCTCTGGAACCTTAATGTTAAAGACGGCTGCATCCCCTTTCCCAGGTGTGTGACAAATGTCTTGGCAAGTGAAGGCTAAAAGCTTCTCTTCTCCCATGGCCCTTGGCAACCATGCTCTCCAGCAAGCACACCCCAGGAAAAGCATGTGAGGCCTAAATGAATGCTCCCAACAGAGGCAGCGGGCCAAGACCAGCAGGAAGTCATGGCAGAAGCGCTCTGAAACCCTGCTCTGGAAAGGCAGAGGATTTCCCCCCCAATACCGCACAAGACCTGCAGGGCTCTTACCGTTACAGTGGGCACAGCTGTGACAAGTGAGTAGACCAGGACTGGCGGTGCTCGACTGGTGTCCTCGGGGCCAGGGTAGGGCTTGGTGTAGGTGCTGTCGTAGCAGAAGAAGCCTTGGAGATGCACAGGAAAAGTGTCGGTGTATTCAAAGTGGTAGGCCAGCACCACAGTGCCTGCCATTATCACCAGCTGGAAGTAGAGCATGGCACATCAGGCAAGGCGCAGCCCAGTCGGCCAGGTGGGAGGCTGAGGGAAGGAAGGAAAAGCCCGGTCCCTGAAACCCGTGCAGCCTGGCTGCCCTCCCTCCCTCCCTCCCTCCCTGCTGCCTGCTACTCCGTGCAGGCTTCCTCGTGTGCTTCGTTTTACGCTTGGGTGCCTGCTGTAGCCGTGCATCTTGTCAGCACTGCCTGGAGATGCACTGAGCCTGCCTGGTTCAGAGTCAAGCAGTCAGCTGCTTCCCCCCACTCCTCCCCCTACATCTCCTCCCCCTGCTTCCTAGCACCCAGGAACTCTTAGGCACCCCGAATCCTTGGGTGCAGATGAGCCAAGGGGGAGAGAGGGCTAATCTTTGCAGCTGTGTATGGCTGATGCAGACCAAAACTTGGATAAAGGTGGTGTCATGTACATGTTCACTCTCCCCTTTCAAGTCTTGCCACAGCCTTACAACTCTTCAAGCAACCCCAGAGCCCCCTGTTTTCAGTCTGTTTCTGGTCTGTGTCAGTTCTGCGCATGTTTGTTCTTAAGTCCATTTGCTCCTGTTTCCACATTACTCTGTGTTTTTTTAATGGCACAAATTGTATTTAAATTATGTATATAGGAACACATTTTCTCCTTACATATGCATTTCTAAAGTTATTATAACCAAATGTGTATTTTACATACATTTTGAGACCTGCATTGCAAAAGTCAGGGAAGAACAATCACAAGCATAACTAAGTTCTGATCTGCACCTTAGTGCATGGAGATGTGAATCTGGTAGGATTGCTTGAACTGCAATTAAGACTGAATCATCAAACATCCTTTCGAGGTGGTACTTGCCAACAGGCTCCATTCAATTAAAGACAAGCAGGACTTCATGGCTGGCATCTCCCCAGTGTTGGCCACAGGTTGAGTGTGGACATCAGAAGAAGAGCAGCTGCAGAGGTTCTCCTTTACAGTTGCCCAAGCTCAACTGAAGAGGAGCCTGAGATGGTGCAGCAGACAAACACAGGATGGGTGCTTTAAGAAAAGCTAAAGCAGTTCCCAGTACAGCAGTCAGCATGCAAAATAGTAGCTTTACAGGGACTTCTTGAATAATGCCCGAGGTGTTGTTTGGACAACATCTCAGTGCACAATACAGAAACCCACTGTGGGCTGCTAATGACAATGGTTTGACATGTTTTGTGGGCCAGACCAATTTCCCCAGGGTGGTTTGCATGTGGACTCATTGTTTTAGGGATTGTTGTATCCACAGAGGGCTGCTGTGCCATCCAACCCCAGGTGACCAGTCTCTTCATGAATGCAAGGAATGAGCTGCTGAGCTACTTGGCAAGGGTAGCAAAAAATCCTCAACACTTTTGCTGCCCGGCATCCAGGCAACTGTGGCCAAGTGGCCCTGGCTTACCACTTTTCCCACTATGATCACAGCTTTTCCACCTTTCAGGTGTGTTTTTCTTCACAGTTGCAGGAGAGTGAGAGCAGGGAACACTAGGTGGGCAATGCACAGGGCAGGGCCTGCTGGCAAAGTCCAGAGGTCCCCTCTCTGGGCCTTGCATCACAGAGGCAGCAGGTGACTTTGTTTTTTCCTTTTGCTTACAACTGGCAGCTGTCAAAAGTTGATCTGCCAAAGGTACAGTGAGCTTAGTGCATATGGTGTTGATGGCGTGTGATGCAGCAAAGCAAGGTCCTTGAGGTTTTGGGGGACTCATGTGTCCCAACAGTGTCCTCCCTCTTGCACTTGTTCCTGAGATTCTTTGGAAGAACTTAGAAGAAGAGGAGAGGTGTGCTGTGTCAGGCCGAGGACCCATCTAGCCCAGCATTCTGATCACACAGAGGCAGAGCAGCTGCCCACAGGATCCCACAACCATGATATGAGTGCAGCAGCTCCCTCCTGCCCAAGTTCCCCTGCAAGTAGTGCTCATAAGCATTATTCCACTGATACTGGGGGAAGTGTAGAGCCGACAGGGCTAGAACTCTTTGATAGCTTATTCTTCCATAAATGTGCCCAGTCCCCATTTAAAGCCATCACTATTTTCTGTGGCAGTGAATGCCATAGCTTATGCACTGTGCGAGGAAGTACTTTTTTAATCTCTCCTGAATCTCCCAACAATCAACTGCACCAGATCACTCCAGGTTCTAGCATTATGGGAGGAGACAAATGTTACCAATCGACTTTCTCTGCACTAGGCATAATTCTGTATGCTTCTATCATGACTCCCTGCTCTTGCTTTTTTCCCCACTAGGCTAAACAATTTCAACTGCTGGTCTCCTTTACTCATAGGGGAGTTGTGCCAACCCCTTGATCATTTTAGTTGACATTTTCAGCTCTGCAATATCCTTTTTCAGATGTGATGACCAGAACCCAGAAACTCCACCACAAATTTGTATAAGGGCAGCATGATCTTGGCAATGTTATTTTCTATTCCTTTCCTAGCTAGACCTAACACAAACTTTGCCTTTTCCACAGCAGCTATACATTAGACAGATATTTTATTGAGCTGTCCACCACAACCCCAAGATCTCTTTCTGGGTCAATCATTGAAAGTTCAGGACCCATCAACCTGAAGCTGGGATTCTTTGCCCCAGCATGCAGCACTTTACACATTCTTACATTGAACTGCATTTCCCATTTTGATGCCCATTCTCCCAGCTGAAAATATCCTTTTGGAGTTCCTTACAATCCCTTCATTTTTAACCACCTTACATAGTATGGTGTCATCAGCACACTAGGCCACTTCACTGCTCATTCCTAATTCCAGATTATGAACAAATTGAAACAAATTCATCCTAATACAGATCTCTGTGGGACCCAATGTTTACATCTCTCCACTGGAGAAATAACCATTTATTCCCACACCCTGGCTTTTGCTCCTTAACCAGTTACTGATTTATAGAAGGACCTCTACTCTTATTCCATAACTATTGAATTTATCCAGGAATCTTTAGTGAGGGACTTTATCAAAGGTCTTTTGAAAACCACATTAAACAGTGCCTATCAAATCCCCCTGTTGACATGTTTATCAATACTCTTGAGGAATTCTCAAAGGTTCGTGAGACAGGTCTTATATTTGCATCAGCCATGTGGATCCTTTCTTACCACCTCAGGAACATACAGAAGGGCAAGCCACTCTATTTTGCTGGAGTAGTAACCTTGGATAGCTGTAACTACTCCATTTTTCAAGTGGCATCTCCAAGGGCTAAAAAGATTGCCAGGAAAGTATACTGGCATATACCTTGTATACCTTTCTCCTTCCACCACCAATTTTTAAAGTTCTGTTTTGGACTGCAGCTCACCAGCTCTGGCCATTCCTTTCTCAGCAGAGGGTGAAACAAGCAGGAATCTCTCTGATCATATTAGTTGAGCCAACTGGATTCATGGGTGCTCTTACCTCCACAAACACAAAGCAGGGGATAATGGAGATGCTTCTCTTAGGTTCCTGTTTCCTACCAGCCATGGCAATAGGACCTGGATCCTTCCAGAAAGAATGGGCTCCCTATGAAAAAGATGACACCAAAGCAAGTTTGCTAAGTGCACCCCAGGCAAGCAAGATTCCTTCCTTGAGGACCTTCAGGTCACTGTCACCTTCAGCACTTCAAAGCTACAACTTCATACTTCTGTGCTTTAAGACTAAGTAACAGTTGTAACATCCTATTCAACATTCTGACCTGAGCGTCTCCCACTTTCAGAACTTGGATGAAGCTACCTAGCTGCTCATGCCTAGCAAAGGTTACACTAATTTGTAAAGTAGCCTGCACAACATTCCAATTTAATCCAGCAGCCCAGCTTTTGAACACTTATTTTCATTTTCCTGGAGAAGAACCAGGCTGCTTTTGCTTTAGCAAGCTGAGCCTTTAGAAAGCTTTTCTTAATTGCCAAAAATCTTGCTTAGAAGAAAGGTAATCGGTATTAAGGTGTCTCCAGATGCACATGGGAATGCAAAGTGCTGAATCCTCCTTCAGGACAATTACTTGTGCTTCTCAGGAATGCTTTCCTGTGTGGTGCTATTGGCAGATTCACAGTTTGCAGCCCTGATTCTGGCAATGAAACCTCCCCGAAATTCCAGAGAGAAGGTGTCATGTTAGGCACAATAACAGAAGGAATTCCTCTGCCACCACCAAGCCCGCTAGCATCTAGGCATTTCCTGTGCAGCCTCCTCCAGTCTGATGCCCTCCTGATGTGTTGGGCCGCAACTATTCTGCTGGCTGGGAATGATGGCCGCAGAAGACCAGTGCATCTGGAGGGCATCAGGACTGGGAAAGCTGGGAGGGCCAGAATGGTGTGCATGTTTTAAGATGAAAGAAAACATCTTCTGAATATGGGTGAAATTGTGGAGCTACTGGATATGGCTTGCAGGCTTGCTTCCTGCCTGTTGAACAAGCGACTTGTCTTGGAAACTGATTATAAATAAAATTTCCTTTGCTGCTTTCCCCCCTTTTCTCCCTGCCCCTGTGCCATTAATTCAATTTTTTCACATCTACTCTAGAGGAGGGTGTGTACAGCATTTATTTGAAAGAGAGTTAAAGTACTTAAATAAACATAACATGAAATAATAGTATTATAGACTGCCTTTCAACAAAAAATGATATGAGGGGAAGCTTATAATCAAGAGGATAAATGCCACTGCCATAGCATAATGAGTGGATATTGAGGGGTGGGAGTTCATTTCAGTGACATTTCCCAATGACTCCTGGCCAAATCATGTCAAAAAATTAATTAAAAACAATAAATTCCTTAAACTCATATTCAAGGAGCAAAGGGCAAGGCCAGACGTAAAATACATAAGTTTTAACATTCATTGCTAGAGGTCTGTTTCATCTACAAAATGTTAACATGCAGTTCTTATTTTAGTCACTTGCATTCTCATGCAAAATAAGAAAAATGTATAGTTTGCAGCACTTTAAAACTCAGGAAAGTAGTATTCCAATTTCCCCGTTAAGACAACATTTATGAATCTCCCTCACTCTGTGGGACCCAATCCTATTCCTCCACTGCTCTTTTCTATTTTTCTTTTCCCCATTGCTCCTCTCTGGTCAAAGAAACTGAAAATTCAGATGTCCAGTTCAGGATAAAAAGATGTAAATGCAACTGCCTACGGCAGAAGCATGTGCTGATGAATTTTATTGAACTGTACAATTTAATCAGAGCAGATAATCAGATTTAGGTTTTGTTTCTGTTTTTTAGTGGTACAGGATTTGGATTTGGGGAGATAAACAATGGAGAAATACTCTGTTCCAATTTCTTTTCTAAACAGTGAAAGAGTTGGGTAGAGGCGTATACCATACATACTCAGTAATTCTATTACCTATCCAGCTAACCTCAACTGCCAGCCATGACAGACTTGCACAAGGTTCAATTTTCTTCCTCCAGCTCTCTCCCCAGGTTGTAGAGGAAGATTTGTAGCCCAGTTTATTTATTTAGTTTCCACATTGCCCAACAGCCAAAGCTCTGTCACTCTCCTTGACCACCCCACCCCTTGGTATGAACACCAGTTCACCCAACACAAATGGGAGCTGGCATCCCCCACCCCACACACCAAAGCCCTGTTTCTTCTAATGGAAGCCGGTTTGGAGTCACTTGCCCAACTTTGCTTGTACTGTGGACACTGCCATGCAAATCCAGGTGCAAAATGTTTCCCCCATGCTGCTTGCCATGAGCCCCATTTCTCAGAGCAACTCACCAGCCCCTAAGACAAGAGGTTCACTCTTTCTTCCATGACCAATGGAATCAGTGACCATTTTGCTGCAATAGCAAACATCAGCAAGTGAGTGTCTGTGTATACACATACAGCCGCTACTACCCTAAGAGCGTAACTAAGCAACAAAGACCTTTAAATCAGATATGCACATACACACTTACACACACCACACCGACTGTCAAACCTCTAACAAAGCCTGGCTGAGTAACAGAAACAATTGATGAACTGCAATGGAGAACTCATCGAATATGTGATGGAAGTAGACTCTGCAAGATAAGCAGCCCATCCATCCCCAGACAGCATTGCCCCACAGCCCAGCTGCTGCATCTCTCACCTTCGGTAAGTGTGTGTGTGTTAGGCAGCAGCCATGGCTTCCTCGGCCCACATCAGCTCTCCTCTCCTCCTCCTCCTCCTCCTCCGCTCCTCCTCGTCTAAGCAATTTTAACAGTCTGCAGGATGTAACTGGGAATCCATGCTGATCATGCCAATATCCCAATTAGAAGCTGGATGGCTAGATTAAACGTTGCTTTGCGTTAGCAGCTGGAGCCCTTCCAGGGAAAGAGGAGAGGGGAAGCGACACAAATATACACATGCATGCGTACACACACGCACACATACAGACAAAGACGGGGAGAGGGAGAGGGAGAGAGGGAGAGGGAGAGAGGGAAGATAATTCTTCAAGAGGGAACATTAATTGAGATGCTGCCTCTGTACCTCTGGGTCAGAAGGGTAAGAGATGCGCAGTGTAGAATGCTCCACCAAAATCCAAAAACCAAAGATGCATCTCCACTTGCAAGCCTGTCAGCCTTGTTGCTCAATCTCTGAATAGTGATTCCCAGTAAGTATACTTCTGCGTGGCCTCGTATCTCACCTGCAGCAGCCAAGTCTTTTTTTTTTGCACTTCTTCCTATTTTACAGACAGAAAAGCTAAGGCAGGCACTCAGTAGCCAAGCATGTTGCTGATATTATACAACCATAGGATTTATGCATTCTTCAGGCTGGATAGAAAACAGAAAGATTATTCTGAAAAGTGATTGCAACTCTAACACACATGTTCATGGAGTTGTGGTGAATAGAATTGATATGGAATACACCTTCCCATTTTAAACTTTCAACAACAAAGGTTTAAAGATGATAAAATCTTGTTTAAAGATTATTCAGATCTGGATGTGTATTTACAGGGGGTGGGTGCATATTTTGGTGCTTGGCTTTCCTATTCACAATAATTTAAGCTTCAGGGTGGAGCAAATTACAGGAGCTAAATCCATCATGAAATAGCCTCATGATTCTAACTCTTCAGCCTGATATTTCCTTGCTAAGCATTATTTGGTTTGCATTTTTCTGCCTCATACCACAAGATAGCGTATTTTATTTTATACCAATAGTAATGGATGAGAGCTACACAAGTATATCTCCCCCCAAACTTCAAGTTTAAATATCAAAAATTGATTCACAATAGCATTATTAGAGGCATTATTAGGGAGGGAATTGGGGGCAATCCAGTAAGAGCACAATATGTATTCTTTGTAAAAGGAATGCAAAAGCTTGAGGTGTATTACAAATGGACCAAGCAAACCTCTATGCCAGGTCTGCTGGGAGGCGAGATACACTCCCACTATTGTGGCACAACAGTTGCCCAATCTTTAATGCACTGAGCCCAAGAGAGGAAGGGATCATGCACAGCAGCCATATCCCCACCACACATACTTAGGGGCTGTGCTGCAGATGGCACTCACAGGGACTTGGAGGGAGCCACTACAGCCACCACCGGCAGGGCCATGGGCCCAGGGCTCACAGGAATGCCAGGCCAGCATGGCTTTGCTAGCATGGACACCGACGTCGGGGCTGCAGACTTCCACGTTCTCTCTGAGCTCAGCTATGGTCCTCACACTAGCTGAGGGAAAGTGAATCTTCCCAGCATAGATAGAATAAAACCTTGGATTGTGAGTAACTTGGTCTGCAAGTGTTTTACAAGACAAGCAAACAGTTTTTCTAAATTTTAACTTGATAAATGAGCGATGTCTCGCAGTACGAGTATTACGCGTGCTTTGCCTGCGGAGTCTCACATCACAACTGAGTGCTAGTCCTTCTCTCTCTCGCTGCAGGTGTGAGTACAGCGTCATCTCCCCCCATCCAGCACACCTGCGATCGCGCCCGTCTCCCCCCCCCAGCCAGCCCCCGACCAAGTCTTCCCCCCCCCCCAGTGCAACCCCTTCAAACTTTTGTGATTAAAAAAGTTACAGAACGGATTAAACTTATTTATATTGAACCTTATGGGGAAATTCGCTCTGATATACAAGTGCTTTGGATTACAAGCATGTTTCTGGAATGAATTATGCTCGCAATCCAAGGTTTTACTCTATATCGCTCCCTGCAAAGTATTTTGGGGTGGTGGTTCTCTAACAGGGAACAAAGGCCTGCTCCTGATGGAGAGGAAAATGGTGGGGACTGGCTTGTGGATATGCACCTGCACCACTGTCTGAATCCCTGGCCTCTCCCCAAGGACTTGGGATGGGCTTGAGAAGCACGGGCCCTTGAAAACTCACCATTGCACCCCCACTCATGATGACAAAGATGCCCCAGACACCTCCCTGCATGCCCACATGCCCAGCAGGGCCACAGCATCCCTGCTCCACAAGGTCCCATGGCAGCGCTGGCAATGACCCCACCAGGGAGAGTCCCCAGGTGGCCCTCCAGGCAGAGGCATGTGTCCCTTAAGCCACACCCAAGTCACAAGCACTGTTTTTTGTTCTTGGCTTTTTTCTTTGCTATTGTTTATTTTTTACTAACAAAGGGAAGGAAAGAGAGGCTAGAAAACATAGCAACCGCACAGCTCTCCTGGCAGGAAGCCTGTAGGTGGGACCCACGGCCCCCCTCAGCAACAGCTCTGATGAGGAAAGGTGGGGATGAGGCCCATATTTTTTTTTTTAACAAATTTTATTATTTTCTCCAAAACTAAAAACAACAATTATTCAGGACATCGGCTATACTGGGTCAACATCACGCTTTTTTTTTTTTTTTTTACATTTAAGAACTATATTAAATTCTACGCATAATCCCATTTCTCTAAGCAATGATAAAAAATATTCCAAGTTTGATAGAAGTACGTATCTTCCTTCTCTTTCAAAGGCAAAGTAATCTGTCCATCTCCGCACAGTCCAAGATCTTTTTTATAATCAGCTCTTCATTAAGTGGCTCTTTGCTTCTCCAATGTTGAGCAAATGCAATCCTCGCCGCAGTAGTTATATGTAAAGTCAAATACATAGCTTGTTTATCAAGATTATCAGGAACAATACCTAACAGAAAGACTTCAAGTTTAAATGTTAACGGTTTATGCAGCATTTCCTTAAGCCACTTATGTATTTTAACCCACTATTTTTTTGCCTTAACACATGTCCACCACAAATGATAGAAAGTACCAGGTTTGTGTTTACATTTCCAACATCTATTTGACATATTCGGAAACATTTTTGCTAATCTATTTGGTGATAGATACCATCTATAAAACATTTTATAAAGGTTTTCTTTATATGAAGATGCTAGAATTATCTTAATATTTCTTTCCCACAGCTTTTGCCATTTCTGTAACTCAATATTATATCCAAAGTTTTGTGCCCATGTTATCATAGTCTCTTTAACTTGTTCATCTACCATTTTCATATCTAAAACAAAGTTATACAACCTTTTAATCATTTTTTCATCTGATTTTAAAATAATTTGATCAAATGCTATTAATTCCTTATAAAAACCATACATTCTATAATCTTTAGTATATCTCGATTGCATTTGAATCTTATGCCACCAAGAGAGATCAATGCCATGTTTCTGTAATTCTTGATTCGGCTTCAATTTTCCATCATTATCTAAAATATCGTCATATCTCACAATCTTATTAAAATTCAAAGCATTTGGGTATGTAAGAGCTTCTACAAGGGGAGAGCCATCTCGGCAACTTAGGATAGAGTTTAGCCTTTAGCTTCTCCCAAACTGACATCAGAGTTTCTAACATAATGACTTAAAAAATAACCTTGTGTCTTACATTTCTCATAACAGGTTGAGGCCCATACTGATACGGGTACAGCTGAACTGGTCAGGAATTAAACACATCTTACTCAAGTCCTACTCATTTCAATGGCTCTACTCTAAGTATAACTTACATTGAACTTTATTGGAGAATTGCTATGTTTTAGAGATCTGGATGTGGATGGAGGAATTGTAGTAGTGGGAGTAAAGCTGGGTAAACTGCTTGCCTGGTGCAAGGGGCAAGGATATCACACACCATCCAGATACCAATACAGAAAAGGGTGGAATCAGTTGCCATAATCAATGCTGGCAACAACGAGGGGTGAATGTTGTGTAATTCTCAAAGCCAAATCCAGGTTGTTAGTTAGGAGAGTGGTTTTCAACCACCAGTCCACGGACTGGTGCCAGTCCGCAAGAGATTTCCTGCTGGTCCCTGAAAAAGCCCTGGTGAGGAAGCCCTCTGGGGGTGGAGCCAAGTGTCATGGAGGAGCTGCAGAGGGGTGGCATATAAAAGAAGCAAATCGCGCTCTTCCCACTCGCTTAGCACTGCTGCCACCAGGGGAACTGAGCTGATCATAGCAGGAGGTGGGAAAGAGGTTGCCCGGCTCCACACAAGGGGCAGAGCGATTCGGAGAGCTGGAGCATGGGCTGGATTTTGGCTGGAGAGACAGTTCCATGGGAGCCAGCCAGGAGCTGGGAGCCGAACTGCTGATCTACCCTCTAGACGGGCCCTGAAGACAAGGCCTTTTCTGCTGTGTTTTCTCCTGGTAAGGAAATTTTGAGGTGGGTTCTGTTGACTGTGTTTTCCTGGCCAATCTGCTCTGGTGCGAATGGGGGTTTAGGCAGGAGGGGTTGTTGTATTTCATTATTTAACATTATGAATATTATTGTAATAAGTAACTTTGTTTGATTTTTATTGCTCTGCTGTTAATATTGTATTTGAATTTGTATTTGCTATGAATATAGTATTGCATTTATGTTGATTTTATATTTTGCCATTGTAAATTTTTGATCAAATATTCTTGAAAAGAAGCAACAGCAGATTTCACACTAGCTGTATCTGAATTAAATATTGCTCTCTAAAAATGTCAGTTGTATTTTATTACATTTAATTTCAATATTTTATTCTTATTTAGCATTTTTACTGTTCAATTTCTGGTTATTTTAGAGAATTATCATTTTGGCATTATATTTAAAATCGAATACACAAAATACTATATTATGTATATAATGCTTTTTATTTCTGCCTCAGTGGTCCCTGAAATATTTTTCCTATTTTTGCCAGTCCCCAGTTGTAAAAAAGTTGAAAACCACTGAGTTAGGAGGTTGAAGCCCAGGACCACACAAGATGATGTATGGAGGCAGCTAAACAGGCAGGATCCTCAATGAGAGAACAAAATGGTAGTTTAAGGAGGAGGGTTTCAGATTTGTTAGGTAGCTGGGAAAATTTTAGGACAGACTTCACTTGAACCAAAGGGATGCAGTCTGTGCTAAAAGCAGTAATAGAAATAGTGGCAATACAGCTTTTAAACTGAATCCAGGAGACATGCCAACAGGAGCTGGGAAATATCCAGTTCATATTGGAACATCCCTAAGAGATGAAGGCAATTTTCTTCTAATTGCTCAAGTGGAGATGGAGAGGAATCTGGCCATGCACACATGGTGAATCATAGGTGCCAGTCAAAGTGGCCTAAGCAAAAGGAGCACAGGTTAGAGACATCTGGGATGGACACCATGCGTAAGAGTCTCTATGCCATGCTTGGGTATTACCCTAAACCACAATAATGAAGCTCAGCTAGAATATATAGTAGAGGTTAGAAAAGGTAGTACCAAGTCCAAGAAGTCATCACCATGGTTAATGAGCATGGTAATGGAAGCCCTTAGAGAAATGAAGGTTTCCTTCATAAAATGGAAGACTTGCTCAAATGAGAACAAAAGGAAGTATTACAGAGATGCAAACAGACAATAACAGATGCACAAAAGTAATTTGAGAAGCAAATTGCTAACATTAATACCAACAATAAAAGTTATTTAAATAGATACAAGAAACTAGCCAGAAAAGCAGAACAACTGTTGGATGACATCAGAGTTAAGGGACATCTAAAAAAATCAGCAATTACAGAGAATGAATGAATGCTTTTCATCTGTCTTCACTGCAGGATATATAAGACATGCTTGTGCTTGAACTCCTTTCAGGAATGGGGTATGAGAAACCAGTAAAGACAAAAGATTACGTTTTCTCAGCCATACTGACCAAATAAAAATTAATAAATCTCCAGTCCCAGATGGTATCTATCTGAGAGTATCTTGAAGACCTTAAATCTGTGATTGCTGACCTTCTAACAAAAATAAGTAACATGTCCCTTAAGTTAGCCTCTGTAACAGGGGATTGCCAAATGGCCAGAGTAATGTCAGTTTTTAAAAAGGAATCCAGGAGATTACATGGGTAGTTTGATATCTGTTTCTGGTAAACTGCTGAAAAGCATTATAGAGGAAATTGGTAAACAAGATCTGCTGAAAAAGAATCAACCTACTTTCCACAAAGCTAATTTCTGTCTCCCTAACATTTTCAGAGTACCAATCAATACACATGTGGAGAGGGGTGATCTCACAGACATTACTTACCTGGGCTTTCAAGAACCTTTTGGCAACATTCCTCACCAAGGATTGCTGAGCAATCTTAGCAGTCATGGAATAAATAGAGAGGTCCTGGCAACAGAACAGAAAACAAGAACAGAATGGTAATTTCTCCCAAGGGAGGGATGTAAATAGTGGGTTCTCACAGGGATTTGTATTGCAACTAATGTGTTTCAACTTGTTCATAAATGATCTGGAATTAGCAGTGAGCAGTGAAATGGCCAAGTTTGCTGATGACACCACATTTTTAGGGTGGCTAAAACAAAACGGAATTGTTAGGTGCTCCAAAAGGATCTCTCAACGTTGAGAAAATGCGCACCAGGGGAATGGTGATCCATCTGGCAGCATCCTGCAGTGCTCCACCACCTTATCTTGCTTGCTGTTGTCTGTTGTTGTTGTAGTTGCTAGTTGTGAAGTCATGTCCGACCCACCACGACCCCATGGACAACTTTCCACCAGGCCTTCCTGTCCTCCATCATCCCCCAGAGTCCACTTAAGCTCATGCCAACTGCTTCAGTGACTCCATCCAGCCACCTCATTCTCTGCCGTCCCCTTCTTCTTTGGTTGGCCACTGTGTGAACACACCAGGGCCATTATGTTTATATGTTCTTATGAAGTCCAAAACATCTGGAGGGCCAAAGGATGAGAAATGCTGTTGCATAGCAATTAAAATAATAACTGGAGGATGGTAGTACAATGCAGTATTTCCATAATCATCTTGAGCAGGGCTGGACAGATTGTTACACATTTAGAAAAAATGTGCATTAATCATGCCTTAAAAATTAGATCAAGTGAAAACCCTTAAACTGCATCCAGTAAAGACAGGGACTTTCACCTATATTTTTCCACAATAATTTCCAGCTTGTTTTGAAGCTCATGATACACATAACTGGGTGAATTCTCCATAGGGTAGGATGTGGTGTGAAAAAGAGATATACAAAATCAGAATAGACTTCATTATTGCTAAATCTGGAAGCATAATCAAGGGGACAGGAAGTGCGAAAAAGGTCCAAGGAGAAGAAGAATCAAACCAGGCTTTAATTAGAGCAGAAAATTCCTCTCTGAAGTAAAAATGCCATAAAAGTTAAGAACCATATTTCAAATATATGGTTGTGGTGAGATAGACTGCATTCCACAGACCATCAGTGATTAGAGGTATGATTTCCCCTATGACAGGGAAAAATCAGTCAATTGGTCGTTGGTTAGGATATTATGGGGGACCCAAAAGACTGGAAGCATACCAGGAAAATTGCAAAGTCTGTCCCATTGAGCAGCTGAAAGACTCATAGCAAAGCAGAGCTAAGTGAATGCAGTTGACAACAGGATAAGCTTGCATGAAGGGGAACAAAATATCCCATTTCAGAGGATGCTGATAGGGAACCTGGAAACAAATTGCAGAGCAAGCAAGGCGTACCCTCCACCTTCTCTTCCCAGACTAAGGAGAATCTGTTCCTGCCCTTTTTCTCGAAGGGCTTGCTTCCCACAGCTACATTCTCCCCTGAACACAATCTAGTGGATCTCTCTCAGGCTTCCTTAACCAGGCTCTCTCCAGACATGTTGAACTTCTGTGGAGCAAACTGGCTTAAATGTTATCAGAAGTATAACCAAGGCCAAGGATTTTTCCCAACCAACTCTTAAAGTTTCAGGGGAAAAATCTCTCTCTCTTTTGCTGTTACAATTTGAATCCCCAGACATAAGACACAGAAAAAGTTGCCACATGATAATTGTTTGAGATACCAAGTTCCTTCTTTCTTTTTTGTTTGTATTCCAAGAACAGACCAGATGTAACTGCTGTAGCCTGTAAAAAGCTGTGCTTGTAACAGGAGGAGGAGATGATCCTTGCTAACAATGTTGGTGCTCTGATGCCAATGAGTTGGTCATGGACCTGTCCCTGCAGTACAGTAACGATAAAAGTTTGCTTGGACTGTACCTTTCTCTTAATTGGACTGGAACTTCTTTAAAGTTTTTCCTTCCATAATGCCAGTGGTCCTTCTGGCTGGAAATTGTGGGAACTGCAATCTAGCACAGAGGGCACCAGGATGGAGAAGGTTGGTCCAAATTGCCCAATTTAGAATTGTCTAAAAAGAATGTCAACACCTTCCTCTGATTTAGAATCTCTAATCCTTCACAATTGATTCCTTTCCATCATTAATAATTGCCTCTTAATGATCTTCCAGTTAATAAACTCTAGTATAATATCTCTGTATTTGCCTAATTTCTTAATCACCCTCCAAGACCTATCCTACTCTTTGAACTGATAGTTGTGGCTTTTAGAGAGAGAAAAGCATGACACTATTAGGAAATGTTAGCTTGAAACTGTTTACACAATTCTGTTATACCACAGCACCAGCTAGTGGTTGTGTGAAGAAAGGCAGAAGAAAAACCCTGGGAAAAATGGACAGGTAAAGGGGATGACCTGCAAAGAATCTAGAAGCAGGCACCTCAGTAAAGTGATGGGTTAAAAGCCTCATGTAGAAAAATGCCATGTTTCAGACACACCTCTCCATTTTTAAAGTATATCATCTTCCATGCTCCACCTTCTCAAGTCTATGGCTGCTTCCAAGTGGAGGACTAGTGATCAACCTTGTGCAGCTAATTCTTTTTTTGTTAAAGGATTTTTGGGAGCATGAAAAAAATGGAAGTGGTGGAAAAACACAGGAGTGCTATGAGTGGAAGCCATAAAATTCCCCCTATGAAATTCCTGAATGAGGGATGATATCATGACATACTAAAACCTTCAGTAAGTAAGCACCCTATCTTTCAGCCTCCTAACTCCCTCCATTTTTGTTTATGGTGTCCTTCAAATATTTTTATAATGATGTATCTTTGCCAGCTCCAAATGCTGTTTCACAACCTCTTCCAAGTGAGAATTCTCATAATGACCTCTTATTCTCTCTACTCCTGGCCTCTAAGGTTCAGAAATTGAGCTTGGGTAACTTTCCTTCCCAACAATCAAGGAAATGGCGAGGAAGGCATACTGGCCTTGTGCTCCAAAAATCACTGACATTGGAGCTTCCATGAAGCTCTGTTTTCATGCTGACAGGGCTGGAACTGGGAGGAGCCACTTCCTACACAGGAAGCGAGGAGGGGGAAGCTAATTTGCACAGCCCTGCCTTCCAGAGCAAGTTGGAGGACTAACCTATTCAAGCATGCCCTCATCTGCTGAAGAAGAATTACGCAGTTCAGGTCTGCTGTAGCAAAGTTCAGGGCACTGAAAAAGTTAAACAGAATGAGCAGGTTTGAGCTCATTTCATGCCACTAATGCAGAGGTGGCCTAGAACAACGCAATAGTTGAATACCAGGTTTTCCTGCTGAAGCTCTGGCTCTGTGTTTGATCACTCAAAGTTGGCATCAAACTTTAACAGGTACCACTGTCTGGCAAACAGAGAGGCAGCATTCAGATTCCCACGGTAGAGACAGAGAGCCATGGGCTGCCATGCTACCACAGTGAGCCGGAAAGCTCCTGGGTTCAGTCCCCAGCATCTTCAGGCAGGTCTGGGAAAGGCCAGAACCACTGCCAGTTGGTGTTCACAATACCAAACTGGATGGACCAAGACCCTGACTTGGAATAAGGCAGCTTCTGATGTTCTCTAGCCAATGATGGTCAGAACAAACCACTTCCAAGCAGTTGGGTTTAATTTCATCTGCACGGACAAAAGTTCAGCTCCAAAGAAGAGCCCAGTTTCTCTCCAGGATCTTGAATCTCATTTCGCTCCTAAGTAGAGAAGAGGATAGAAGAGATTAGTTTGCCTGACAACCAGGTCACAGGGGTCAAAAGGGAGAAGGGCTGCTGGCTTGTACACCTTGGATAGAATCCCTGCAGGGAAGTGGGGAATACTCCAGTGTAGATGCACTCAGGAAAGTATGGTGAAAGGGGGCTAGGGAGAAATGAGAATGACTGCAGAGCTTACCTATGAGCTGTGCTCTGGGCTGCTATGGTGCTGGTACAGAGCTGAGTCAGAAAAAATGGTGCCTGGCGAGGCAGGCTTCCGATGTTGCTGGTTTGCCCGACCTGTAAACCAAACCAAACCAAACCAAACTAGGAGTGATCAGAGGGGCTGTGCCATCTGCAGTCAATTATGTTTCTACTTTATTTCTATATTAATTTACTTGATTCATTAATTTAGAAAATAATTTATGGGTCTCATTTTGGACCGTAAAGATCGAACACATATTAAGAAATGAATTCTGATACCAGACCCCAGTACCTCCAACTGAAACAAAGCAAATCCTGCCTATTAAGTAGGTGGCCACTTATACATTTCCAAAAAGGGGAAACACATGCCCAAACAAGAGGACAAAAGCATACAGGTATAAGTTTGAATTTGGAAATACTCATTATAATTTACATAGGAATACAGTACATATAATCATAGAGTGGAAGACTGTGACCAAGTGACTGTGTCTTCCTGTCCAGTCCATTCTCCAGGTGCTAAGCTGTGAGACAACAGTTTTATGCTTCTTTACCTTTAGACTGAAGCTGAACAAGACAACTGAAGGACTTTCATATACTGGACCACCCTCATTACAACCCATGAGAACCCATGGCCCTCCTACCTGGCTATTGTAGCCGAGCACATTCCCCCACCTTCCACCAATTCCCAACATTGTGGCAAGGTTGATTTGCACCAGCTGAAGACTCAAAGTCAAAAGAAGCACTGTAAATTACACTGAGCTTAAAAGGGAGACCCTCCCACTTGGGAATTATAGGGCTTGGCCATGTTCTCATGGGCCAATGTGGACCACCCTGGTATTCTTCCTGAACAGCAGTGGGGTCAGCAGGCCCACTGTCACCATGTACCTTTGATTCTTGAAGACCCCCTTCTGTCACTCCAGATGCTGCAACTACTGATGGAGTTGCGCAGGGTATTGATAGCCGACCTGTATGGGAGGGAGAGATGGACAGCTCTTCTGGTTTCCTTTGTGACCCACTTGCTGCTGAGATCAAAAGAAATCTAACTTTGCTACCTGAGGCTGTGCTCCTGATCCCTGAAATCACCACCTACTGGTTGTTTCCTCAGGGACAGACCAGTTTCTCTCTTTACAATTTCTTATCTAACAACCCAAAATGTGTATTTTGTAACACACAAACAGTCACATAAGTTACTTTTGGGAGTGGGAGAGACCTAGTGCATCTGCCTGCAAGGGCTGACCCTCTTTCCATTTCGAGGCACGCAGAACCTTTTGTCCAGAATACAAGTGTGCCCTTAAACCCATGTTAGAATGTGCCCGCATTAAAACATAAGGTAACGATTAGCTCTGCATTATTTAGTTATTAGATTGATATCCTACCTTTTTCTTTTTTTAAAGCACTCAAAGCAACTTACATCATTCTCCTCCTGCTCTCCATCTTATCCCCACAACAACACTCCTGTGAGGTAGGCTGGGCTGAGAGTTTGTGACAGGCCCAAAGTCACCCAGTTGGTTCCATGGCTGACTGGGGACTAGAACCAGATCACCTGAGTCCCAGACCTGTGCACCTAATCACTACACCACACTGGCTCTCTGTAATGCGGAGCTTTCTGATTCAGGAAGTTCAAGCCCTTTGAAATGTCTCAGCCTCCTGCAACATTGTGGCATCCCAAATGTGTTGTGCTGCAGCTTCCATCATTCCCAGTCAATATGGCCAACACTAGCTAGGGATGATGGGAACTGTAGTTCAACACAATTGGAAGACACCAGGTTGGGAAAGGCCATGCCCAGGAACATGTTTTGGAACATGTTTCCCAATGCCAAAATCCACAAAAGTGGAAGGAGATGGGTTCAACTTCAAAAATGTCCTACTAGGCTAGCTGTCTTTCACACTGCAAGACCACTCACAGCACCACCAAATAGGTTAAAGCAGGTCGGACTTTCCCCAGCAGGGACTCCCAAGGGGCTGTTCTTACCAGATGTCATTCAGCTCTTCAGACATGGGCTTATTATCTGCAACATGTGATGCATCATTTGGGATTCTGTCCCTCATCTGGGTCAGGAACTACAAGAAGGCCCAAGGGGAAAAGCAGTTAAACTGAGAAGCAGCTTGAACATCAGCCAACCACCTCCTTTTGTTGTTGCTGTTGTTGCTTTTGTACCATCCTGCCTGATGAAGAGTTCCGTAGACCTGAAAAGATCACACAGTAAACTGTGATCTTTGACCTGGCCAAATGTTGGTAAGGATTCTGGCATGGGGGGTGGGGGGCATTAATCCTTCCTCACCCATATTCACCTTTGAAAGGTTGAAAGGTCCATCTGTCTGGCATCCCTGGAATATTCGATAGCTCTAGATCGATTGCAAACAGCCAAGCTTGTCTTTAGCAGCAAGAATCTACCCAGGATCATAACAATATAAAACAGCCACAGTCCCAGCCAGGTGTCTCCTCCAGTGATCTGGGACAGCTAAGTCCACTCCCTTGTCTATTCCCACCATGTTCCTTGTTCATTCCTGCAGCAGAAAGGCCTAGGGTAACTTTCTGGGCAAAGAGTTAGATTGGAAGACTTCTAGGTCAGCCTGAATTTCTAAGGCATATTTAGGATAGTTCTGCCCATCAGACAGCATGAGGAGAGCCCCGGAACAGACCAAAAGCCCACCTATTTCAGTGTTCTCATTCCCCCAACAACTACCTGCTTCCATGACCAGCAGGGCATAACAACTCTACCCAGCACTCCAGTCCCAGCTCACCACCCAAATCATCCAGGAACTAGTATGCACAGAAATACTGAGTCAAAGTTGACAGCTCCATGGTCTCTGCTATTCTGCCTCTTGATCCAGTTCAAAGAGCAGGAGGAGGCAATGTTCTCTGATCGCTGACCAGAAGCGGGCACCTCACTGAACAAGTCACTATTTTATAGTGGATTTGGGGTAGACTTGGCTAGCTTCCTGGAATGCAGTGGGGCTTTGGCTTTCCACTACATTATTCACTATCCCAGCACTTGACCACTGCACTGCAATAGGATTCAGGTCAAGAGCTGAGCCAAGTGGAGAAACTCACCTTGGAGCACTTCATTTGATTCTCCTGCATTTTCTTAATGCTGACCAAATTCCTGGTGATATCGACCTCCTGGTCCTCTAGGATAAGAGTCCAAATGCAGCCACTCAGGACTGCTGTCATTGCTACATTTCAACCTCCCTCCCTCTCACCGCCGGCCAGCAGCCAACACACATGTTCTTCCTTCTGCTGCAAGCAGGCCTTGAGAACAGCTGCCACCATCCCAGGGAGAAGGCTGCACTTTGTGTCTAGCAGAGGCCCTGAGCTTTCTGGGGCTTTATACAGAAAGGGTCCTGCTGCTTTCTGCCCAGCAGCTGAAAAGTGGTGGTGGGAACCAGGTGGAAAGAGTTGCATCTGGAATGAGCCTCTTTGGTCACTGGGGGAAGGAAGGGTCCTTGGGAGTCTACACATGGATATGGGGGCCTGCCAAGGGAAAGGTGACAGGTGAAAAGAAGCACCTTTGAACAGTCTCACTTTCAGCACAACATGGCACTGCTGGTGTGCGGGGCCCTGGGCCCTGGTTACACAGCACTGAAACATCCTCCCACCACATGCCTGCTCCAGGACCAACCTCTCTTTCTTAGTGGCCACTACAAATTTGGCCCATCCATCCATACATGCTGCTTAGCCCTTAGGAACCCAAACAGCAAACAGAGGGAACACAGATGGTAGTCATATTTAAAAACTGACTACCATCAGAAAGGAAGGGAGATAGACTTACCTTCCACTTAACATACACCCACTATAGGAAAACAAGAGGAAACTGTAGCAGCCAGCATGGATTTGAGTCCTTCAGATCAGCACCGCAGTTGCCTCCCTTACTGAGGCAAAACAGTCCTTCCTAATCTGGTGCCCTTTAGATGTTTTGGATGACAACTCCCATCAACACAAGGTAGTGGGCAATGGGGACTGTAGTCCAAAACATTTGGAGGTGCTAGTGTGGGAGAGCTGGTTAAGAAAATGGAAGAGATTGTGCTAAGGTGTCAAGAACCTTGACATCTATTATGGTTCCAAACAAACACAGAATTTGAAAGAACTCTTGTTAGGGAAATCTTTAATTAAAAAACATACTCCAACATTAGTTGTCAATGGCCTAAGTTCAACCTGAAGGAGAGGGAATAATGGTTCACTTCTGAGAATGAGACAAAAAAAGCAATCACATTAAATGTGCATTTGTAGTTTTCTGCTTGTTTCATGTCACCTAAGAATCTTTTGGGCTACTCGATGGTTTATCAATACAAAAATAAATAAAATGAATGAAATCTTCCTGTAAGAGCAGCTCAAAGGACATCTTCTTTTTACAAGGTTGTGAAGAAAAGGCCCAGAGGAGCATTAAGTGAATACAGTGTTCAGCTATAGCACCAGCAGGTAGACCATGGTTTGGGGTGCTAGTATCATTTCCCTCAGCTTACCTGGGGGTTTAACCAGCTGAATACTCCTTAGTTCTAAAGGTGAATACTCCTTAGCTCTAAAGCAGTTTATATTTTCCACCAGCTCAGAGTGCTGGGGTGTTTGGGGGCTCTACTGCAGAGGAAGATGTAGGTCTGGAGAGCCACAGTCACAGTGAATGTGGGACAGATAGGGAAGAGTGTGGAGGAAAAGTACTGTGGGAGAATTCACTACATGTTGGAGAAGGCAAAGGACCAGACACTAAAAATGACCCCAAAGAAAGTCACTGCAGTGGGTACATACTCAATTTCTGGTGGATGTGCTGCAGTTCACCCTGCACTGCTTCCAGCTCCTCCCAAAGGAACTTCTTGCTGCCAGGGAGAAGGAAGAGGCCCCTTTGAGCAGAGCAGTGGAGATTCCCCCTAAAGCAGAACCAGCCCTTATGCAGGCAAGCAACGCTCTTCGGGGTGCAGGCACTCCTTCTGGGCTTAGGTCTTTCTAAAACCTTCTGTCAAACTCCAGCCCAACACCTACATCTGCTTCAGCCGCAGGAGCAACGGAGCAAGATCGTCACATGGTCCAAGACAGGAAGCTCAGATCTCCCACTCATGTCCTTAAAAACCACTTTCCAAAATTTCATTATACATTCACATTCCCACCACATATGGCAATATTTACCTACCTCCCAGCCATACTTCTAACATACTGTATATATTATTACCTATGTAATTTAATTTTACCAGTGTTAGGTACCATTTCCATGCTAATTTATAGAAATTTTCCTTTTTTCTTACCAAAATGCACTTTAATATTCTCTTATCCCATATTTCCCACTCTTCATTACTAAAATTCCTTCTTAAGTCTGTTTCCCATGATGCTTTAAGAGGACCATATTGATATCCCACTTCTAATAATACCTTATAGATTTTATTATCCCTCTCATCCACATATCCTTTTTTGCTTTTGTGCTATCATATCTTCAAATTTAGTATATTCTCTGCACTTACCATTTTAACCATTCTTTAAGTCCAGTGTTCTAACTAAACTACATTAAAACATTAAATTAAGGAAATTAGTAAAATATTGATGCAAATCCTGGAGTCATATTATTGCCAATATTTGATGGAGAACAATGAGGATGGAATATTAAAGACTCCATAGCAAATTTCCTAATAGCTGTTAGATTAATGATAGCAAAGAATTGGAAAGTAAAACATGATTATCAGTTGATTGGTAGAGAGAAGATTGGAATATAGCTATTAATGACAAGTTAACTTGTGGTATTCAGGCAAAAGAAATCTGTTAAGTAAGAATAGTTTTGATGATATTTGGGGATTATTTATTGAGTATATATTAATAAAAGGGAAGGGTTTATACCTTTACAAGATTCAATGAAGTTCTGGAAGGGAAGTGGGGCCTCCTAAGAGGGCAAATGATTTAACATGTAACCAAAGGTCCAAGTGGAAGGTGCAGTCTTTGTTATTGGATAGTTTTAATTATTTTGATGTTTTCCTTCTTACTTGTATTGTTTACTACTTTGTTATGAATTTTTGTTTTTTAATTGATTTAATAAAGATAAACATTTTTTAAAAAGAATCTCTCACCCAACTTCCACGGAAATCACCACAGCTGTCTTAAGGCAGAGGTGTTTTGCCTTAAGCCCATGGGCCAAGTCTGGCCTGCTTGGGGTCCCAATCTGGGCCTCTGACTGACCATGACCCTTGCCTCTGGCTGCATCCCCATCCCCCAACCACCAATCTTCTGGTGTTTTCCTGGCTTTTGCCACCCCCCTGCCCCATTCCAAAGGGTTGAAATTCATGGGGGCAGCTGCTGGCAGCTTTGGGCCAGAACAGGCTGCCATTTGTGACCCCGCCATTCATGCCTTGACCCCACCCACCACCAGAATACAGCTCCCAAGAGATTCTCTGACACTGGATGTGTCCCCCAGGGTGCCAGAGGGTCAACACCCTTGTCTTAAGGACTGCCAATTATAACCCTGAGCTCCAGTTCGGAGCCCCTTTCTTCTGCCCTGCCCACCCTGCCTTTTCCCTACCTCTCAAGGACTTCTTGAGTCAGATTCTTCATGGAGCTTTCCTTCTGGATCATGGAATCCTGGAGTCCTTCTACCTCTTTGGACATCAATTTCCAAACCTCCTGGATCCTGCTTTCCATTAAACCATCCAGCATCTCTCCAGGAACTGAGTGGCTGGCCAACTGTACTGCCTCTGGACAGAAGGGGACAGATGGGTTGGCTCACATGATGAGAGATGCAGCAGAGATGCAGCACAAAACAGCCTGCATCTGCTCTAGGAGACACATATTTATGCACATGTAACATTTAATATCAGGTTCAGAATTCAGGATGCTAAGATTTTCAACTTCAGTAGGTTTCTAGTCCTAGCTGTGGAGATAAGCTTCGCAATGGCTTCCATGCTAGGAGAGCTAAGTAGAAATTGCTCAGGGATTCTACAAAGCTTTTTGTCTCACATGCCGTGGCAAGTAAACACTGACTGTTCTATGCAAAAATGAATTTAGCTGTTCTTGCTGCAGGACTCCATGACTGAACTTTTTTTTAAACAGTGGGGTTATTCACACATAACACAAATCATTATTGCAGTTACCTTTTTTTACCTTGTGTCCTATGTTCACACATTTGCAAGGTACCTACTCAGGAGTAGTCTCAGCACGCCTCCATCTTCCCTCCAAATGGTGCCATGTATCCCACCGGCCCTTGCAGCTGGGAACCACAGAATTCCCCTATCCACAGAAATCCCCTGCCTACTCATTAGAGAGGCACGGTGGCTCTGTAGCCATAGCAGAGCAACAACCAAGCGGGAGAACTACGCATGGCTTCCCCCACAGTTGCTGCAGCTGGAGGCACTCCCTGTCCCTACGCCCAATGCATGCTCTCTGACATCTGGCTGCCTGCCACCACTATGTCTGCTCATAGCACACAGCCTCCCTGTTCCTGCCTCTTGCACAAATTCACACTCTGTTCCCATGCCCTGTGCAAGGGGCTGGGTCATAGGGACCATGCACAAGAATTCAAGCAAAGGGCGGGTGCTTGCAAGGTGATCGTGCGGTGCTGCTAAGTGAGCCAGACATCTTTGTGGCTGGCCTGGCAGCACAGGAGGCAGGTGACCCAGCCAGGAAGTGGGCAGGCAGGTGATCAGCCAGACAGCGCACAAAGTGGATGAAAAGCCAGGTGGCAGACATGGTGGTGGTGGGGAGGGTGGGCATCAGGGAGTGCGTGCCAGGAGGACAGGGAGCGCAGGGTCAGACAAATAGTGCCCTGCCCACTGGCAATGCGGATGTTGTTAGGTGAACGAGGCAGCAGAAAAGGGCAGCTGGAGCAGTCATGGCCACTCCTGCTGCCAAACTTGCTGCTCAAAATGGGGAAACTATTCTGAAACATGGTGACTGGCTTCACACAGAACAAGAAGCCTTAGAACAAACTGTTGGCAGGATGCTTCCTGCTATGTGGGGTCTTCAGCAGTCCTCATCCTGCAATCACAAAAGCAGCAGCATATGACTTTTAAAGCCAAGCGCCTGCTAGGTGGGCACTGTCTTTTCACATCATTCCTTACCTTCCAGTTCCTTGATCCTACCCTGCTGCTGGTGGCTCTCCTGCTCCAACAAAGTAATGGAGTGGCTCAGTGCCTGGAAAGCCTAGTAGAAAAACATGGCACAGGCAGGGTACACACATACATTGACTTCCTCTGCACCTGATATACCAATATAACAAACAGTTATCTCACCTCTCCCCAATCACACTTACATTTGTTTGGGCATGGAGCTGAGCTTTGATAAGCTCCAGATCATTTTTCAGGACCACCTGAGATTCAGGGATCATCACTGCAAAAGAAACACAGCAGGTGTGCCGAAGTAGCAACAGATCTGGGGTTTCATTGAGGTGCTGCAGGGGAGATGGCGTCCAGCACCAGTTGAGGAACAATTCCCAGTTACCTAGAGCTCAATGTCAATTGTCTCCCAGTCAAGGGACTTTCTAGGTAGCAAGACCACTTCATGGTACCTTACAGGTGTGACATAATGGAATTGGGAAGGGCTTTACTTTTTCCTGTATGATTTTTGGTCTTCCCTCATCCACTTCCTATTTCTCTGAGGGTTGCATAAAGTTAAGAGTTTTTGATTCTGTAGAGATGTTCATTTACAGCTTTAGGACATGCTGATAGGAGATCAAGATTGTGCAAAAGGGCTGGCAAGCACACAGAGCTTAACTCACTGTGTATACAGCCAATCCACATTATTTGCACACCTTAATTTTATAAGGTAGTGTTCTTGAGAACAAGGCTGATGTGCATGGGACTGAACATGGACAATGCATGGTCAAATGCCAGAAACCAGAGATGGGTGGCAAGCAGGTCCAGGAAATGGATGGAGGGAGTGTCGATTATCTCTGGATAGCTCCTCCTGCTTTGTCCTTCCTCACAAAGCAAATTAAAGTATGCAAAACAGAGGAAGGCATACAAATACCTTTCATTTCTCCACTGAGAGAACTCAGCTTGCTTTGTGTGCAAATCTGACTTCTGGATCTCTTTTACAGTACCCAAAGTACCAGGGAAGGCTAAGTCAATCCTGCATCTTTGCCTGTCAAAACAAGGCACGGAGTCCCAGAGTCCTGACAAAGCCTACTCCTATTGTAAACTCAAAAGTGTTTTGGAGCCCAGCCATTGTGTATGTATAACTGTTGTTTGTGGTCAGCCCTTGCTTCTAAAAACTTGTGCTATCACACAGCCGGTGCTCTAGAGTCCCAGAAATGCAGGGCAATGCTTTTTTATATCACTGTTGTAATGATTGCCAAAACCCTTCTGCTTTCCCATTGCTTCACATGTTACAGGACTGAATACTGTCATGGAAAATCTGGAGTCAAAGTTACCCCTGCTGTTCACAATATGTTTTCTACAGAGGGAGGCTTGGCTAGTGCCACGGAAAGAAAGTAAAGCAGATCCAAGGGCAGCAGGGGAAAGTGGGTAGGACCAGAGAATCGACTGGCTTCAGGTAACACAATAACCTACCCTCAAAAGTTGAGCATGCATTGAACGTGGGTTGTCATTGAGACTTAAATGTTGGAGTCAGAATGTTGACACTTAATGGCATATTCACAAACCCCAAGTGTACCCAGCCATGTACCCAAACTTGGCGGCTGCGCCTGAGGAGCTGACTGGGGAAGTCCCTCCCCTTAACAGAGACTAGGAGGGGAGGGGCAAGGGAACTGGCAGTCGGGCTTGTTAGGTGGGGAGAAGGAGGGTGCCTGAGAGAAAGGGAAGGAACCTGGCCCCCTCCACGTGTGCTGGACCGTCACTCCCAAGACATCTGGGGTTGGGGAAGTATGAGCTTGATGATTTGAACTAAAGCTGTTGCTGTCACAATATGACAAGGTTCAGACAGCAGGTTAACCCACAGTCAAGGGCTAAGTATGAGTTGAGTCATCATTGAACTGGGTTGTTGTTGAGTTACCCAGCAAACCATGGTGAACAACCTCCACATCACAACCCAACAACAAACCATTGGTTCTTTTCATGGGTTGTTTAGCACTGCTGGGTTCAAACAAAATGATAACCCACATTTCAACAACAACCCTAAGGTTCAACACCACCCAAATTCAGCCTCTGCTGTCTGAATACAGTCAGTGGCAGATGAGATCTTGAGTTTATGGATGATAAGGCTACCAAAGAAATGAAGAGCCTGGGAGAAGGCATAGGTGGGGAGGAGATGTGAGAACAAGATCACAAAGAAGTGAGAACAAGATATGAAGTCATTTAAAATGGGGTGGAAAGAAAGCATGAGAAGTCTAAGCTAAAAAGTGAAGCCAGGCACTGAAGGCCATCAGCACAGAAACAATGAAAGTGGAAGCCAAAAGACTAACAGACCCAAGCAGGAGAATATCTGTGGTAAAAGGAAGACCTATGACAGAAACTTTAGGGAGCATTAGTGGGGGTAGAAAAGGGGAAGGGAGAGAACCATTAATGGACACCTTGAGGAAGCAATCATGATGAAACAAACTTGGAAAACCCCAGGTAGTGCAGCAAAAACTGAAACTGGACCCCAAAGCTCAGCACTCATAAATCCCTGCTGAGAACTGAAGAGAGGCAGAGAGGACAGAAAGACTGAAGATGCCAGAGCTTGCTTCTCACTGCAACTAGAGCAGAACTGGGACTCCAAGCCAGGAAGTATTTTTTCAGCCTCACTTTTCCCCTGCCTCCTTTAGCTTGCCACACCAGCAGCCAACTAATCTCACACAGAAGAGAACATCACTCACCATGTGGCTTCATCTCCAGCTGGCCCTGTTGCACAAAGAGGAGCAGAGAAATCCCATCAGTCTCTTACCCATGGCTCATTCTCTTACAAAGGTCTTGGAACACAAGCCCATAATAGCTTCTCTAAATCTGAAGGGCTGGCAGCATGAGATGGCCTGGCATCCAATGGAGCAGAGGAGTTTCTCTGGTGCTCTGCTTGCAAAGGAGAAGAAATAAACTCCTCTCTTCCTCTTGTCCCTGGCCAGGGCCCAAACCAGTGATTCTGATGTCTGTGCATTCTATAGTTGTGCATACAGAGGGTCACAGTACATCCAGGAATCCTAATCAGGCAGAAGTCCTGATGGGAAGGTTGTCCAGTGGTTAGTCCTCTACGACCCATGTTGGTAGAGGGGGAAGAAGGATGGCATCCAGTGAACCCACCTCCCACAACTGTCCATTTGCTGTACAGTTGGGCCTGTTCCCCACCCCTTTAACTTCCATACATTGGACAGAACATCAGAAAGAAAAACCTACTGCATTCCCAGGACCTCCACCAAACTGGGAGCCTGCAACATTTGGGAATCCACCAGGCAGAGGCCCTACACACATGTGGCTTGCAGGGGGGCAGGGCCCCCCTTTCCAACATTCTGCCAAAGGCACAGGTCTCAGGGACAAGGCACAGGCCTGCTCCTCCTTGCACACATATAGCATATGCCCATGCAGGCAACCTTATGTCCAACAGATGTTTTGGATAACTGCTACAATTCCTAATCGTTGGCCACATTGCCTGGGGCTGATGAGCAATGGAGTCCAAAACACTTGTTGCCTCCTTCTGCTATACCTAGAACACATGGCAGTAGTCTAATCCTGAGGCCACCAATGCATCGCTGTGGCAAGGCTATCCCTGTAGCTGGCACACAAACAGTAGGTGGCAATGCGCTTAGTGTGGCCACCAAGGTCACCTGGGCCTCCAGTGACAAGGGTGGATGCAGGAGCACCCTCGAGGTGCATAGTTCCTCCTCTAGAAAGAGTGCAACCCCATCCAAACCCGTCCAATTCCTGGACTGGGATCGGCCCACTCAGAGGATCAGTGTTGTATCGGGATTTAATGTCTTGTATCCAACCTGTAACTGTCCATAACAGTCAGCTTATCGAAGCAGCCAGGATGGAAGAGTCCAGGATTTCTAGCCCCAACCTTCTTTAGCATACAAAAGGGAATCTATGCCCCTCCAAATGTAGCTGGACTATAGATCCCATCAGCCCCAGCCACCACAGCCAATGGTGAGAGGAGCTGAAGTCTAACAACATTTGTGGGGGCACAGCCTCCCTTCCTGGCTTTAACAGAACACAAACACTGTTCCCCAAGACACTTACTGCTGATATCATGCTGCCTGCCCGAGCCTGGTACCAGCTAGGCGAGGTGTCCCGATTCTTCTCCTCCTGGGCAATTGTCATCATAGCTGGCCCCTGAGAGACAGAAACAGAGGTGGCACCAATTCTGTAATCTGACATAGCCACAAAAGCTGAGAGGGGAAAGCTAGACTGATAACCTGCGGGGAGGAGACTGATGTCCCCCAACATGTTCACTTCTTTTGGGAAGAGAAGCACATGGAATTTGCTGCTGCTGTGCTGACGGCCACCCTGGAGTCATGGCTAGAGGCTGTGGGGATGGGCTGGTCTCACCTGCTGAACTCACCTTCAGCTATTTCAGAGTGGGCAACTTGTGGCCCTCCAATGCTTTGGCCTGCACCTTCCACCAGGCCTAGCCAGCATTGCCACTGATGAGGGATGTTAAAAGTTGTGGGCCAAAACATGTTGCCTGCCTCAAGCTATTTCCTCTGCAAGACTGTTTTTTGTCAGGCACCTGCACTTTTCCTTGCAGCATTTCCTACATTGCATACAGCATGGATCACTTGCTAGATCTGACTGGAGTGTGAAGGGATCATCTGTTGTCTTCCAGATATTATTAGATTCCATTTGCTGACCATTGGCTGGGGTTGATAGGTGCTGGGGTTCGACAATAGTTGGAGAGCCATAAGCTCCTTGTAGGGATTGGCCCATTTCTCCCAAAATATACCATTCCAAAGTGGATATTTCAGGCTCTGAAGCTGAAGTGGGAGAAGAGGTGAAATCAGAATGCCCCACTGAATTGCCAAGGTTAACGTTCTTTGAGATAAGCCAAAAGCTGGTGAGAACCAGTGCCTCTGGTTTGATGGGTGGGGAGAGGCACTGTGGAAAGAGAGGGTCAGAACTGGAGAACTCTAACTTTTATCAGTCTCATAGTCTGACATCAAGTCAAACAAGTGGACAAATTAAGTAACATGCAGCACTCTCACTGTCTGATTCACAAGCAGTGCAAACCTCCCTGAGGGTGGAGCCAACTCTGTTTGATAGAGAAGGAAGTAGGGGAATCATCTCCTGGTTTCCTGTATGGGCAAGAATTCCACATTTATTTATTTAAAACTTTTATATGCTGTCCCTACATGCCTTGGCATCTCAGGACAGCTTACAATGTAGAATTAAAACAATAAAACAGTAACAAATACAGTAAAATTATATAAAAACAAAAACAAAAAAGCGACTGTTAACGATAAAATTAATTTTTAAAATAGCCATTAAATAAAAAGGTTTTAAACTGGCACCGAAAAGAATATAGACTTGGCACCAGGCACACCTCTCCACAGAGCACATTACCTGGGTGCCACCACAGAGAAGGTCCTGCTCCGGGTAGTTGTTCTTTTTATCTCCTTTAAAGAGGGCTCCCAGAGCAAAGTCTCTCCTGCAGATCTTAAGGGGTGTGAGGGCATGCAAGGGAAGAGATGCTCCTTCAGGTTTCCTGGTTCCAAGCTGTTCAGGACTTTATAGGTTAAAACCAGCACCTTGAATTGGGCCCAGACTTCAACTGTAAGCCAGTGGAGCTGGTAGAGGACTGGCATTATGTGAGAGTAACGGCCGGTCCCCGTCAGCAGCCTGGCAGCTCTGTTCTGTACCAGCTGAAGTATCTGGACCGTTTTCAAGGGCAGCCCCACATAGAGCACGTTACAGTAATCCAAGTGGGAAGTTACCAGAGCATGTATCACTGTTGCTAGGGAGTGTTCATTCAGGTAAGGACACAGCTAATGGATCAGTCGAAGTTGTAGGAATTAGAGAGTTGTAAGTTGATGGATGCCTCTTGCTAGCAACCTATGTATCACTTTCTTAATACCATAAAGCCAGCTCTGACTGGCCAGCTCCCTCTTAGTAAAGATAGTAGTTAGAAGTCTTGCCTCATGAACTACTGGGAATTAAAAGGAGAGTAATTTACCAGCTCTCAACCCTGCTTACAGATAGCCACATCTGCAGCATACAGTGGCTTTAGTTTCATGGGATCAGCCAAGAGAAAATATTTGGGAGAACGGATGAATGGCTCTGCTGCTGCACATGCTGCATGCTCAGATGGCTTTTTAATCCAATCCCGCTTTATGAGACCACAAGGAAATGTTCCTGCACAAGTCTTATTGGCAGAAATAGCAGCAAAGAACCACAGAAAACAAGAATATCTCTCAGTATTTGTAAATGTGGAAAAGTGTTTGGTACTGGCCATCCATTATAACACTCTTGCATAGACGAAGATGCATCCAAAAAAAATCGTGGATCATATGAGGCCAAATGGTTTCTGTTTCTAAAGCTGGTTGTCAGCTTTCAGAGCACATTGGATTTTTAAAGCTATCGCAGTATTTCTGGTACTGACCTAGTCACTGCATAGCTTTATTGCAGGCTTCCCCAACCCAATGTGCTCCTGAAGTTTTGGACTACAGCTTCCAGGATTCCTGACTGTCAGCCATGCTAGCTAGAGCTGATGAGAGCTGAAATCTGAAAACATATGAAGGGCACAAGTTGAGGAGGGCTTCTTTAAAGTTAATACAATAAAGACAAACTACACACACAAGAAAGCTCTGAAGGCCTTGTGGATGCTTAGTCCTTTTCCCATCAGATGCTTCTTTGCCCCCAGTTCTGCACTAAACAATGAGAATGTGTCTCCCAGCAGCTGCAGTTGTAGTCCAATACCATCTAGAAGCCTACTTGTTCCCCTCTGCAGTAAGCAAAATGACTGTAGATTCTATTGATCAGGATTAGTGCCAGAAATCTGGGATACTTTTATTTCAAGGGCAGTTACTTATGCCACCATTCCCTGGTTGCACTTTCTAATTTTAAGTCTCATTCAACTCATAAGTGCCATTTATTGATCAGTTAGATATTATATAGATTTGGTCTGGTTTTTAAACAAGCTTTATACTTTTGCCACAGCAAAATGTTCTGGAAGGTAAGGACACAGAGGCAGGAGGCAAGCAATCACAGACTGCAGAACTGGGAAAACCTCTGACTTAGTCTTTGTAGAATAGGTGGTGTGGAATGGGATTGTGGGGCAAACCATGGAGAAAAGTGATTGGGTGGATTCATACGACACAATAAGCAACAGTGGTTTTTTAAACTGCAGTGTCCTCCAACCCCATTGTGCTATTTCAGCAAGCTATGATACATTTTGAAAACTTATGAACAAAACAATGGTCTGTTCCATGGTTTCTTGGTACTGTAATTGCTTGTTGTGTCATCCAAACCGGAAAACACAACTTGACACGGTACTGAGGCTGGAAATAGAGAACTGCTTGGCAAGGGCAGCCCATTGCGACCCTTGCCAGGTAGCTAACCAGAGAGTGCCACTGACAGCTGCCATTTGGCACTACTGTCAGGGCTTTCCCACTTCTCCTGCCTCCAGCCCTAAAGAGCTTTAAGGCAGGAGCAGGCAGTTAGCAGCACTGCTCAGTTAATTCCTCTGCTGCCACTCCCGCATGAGCAGGTGCAGGGAGAATCTGCTGGACCATGGTGTCCAGTTGGGGGCTGTGTGCTGCAATGCACCCCCCATGCTGCTTCCTCTCCCACATGAGCGGTGGGGCCGCTTAAAAGGGAGGGAGGGGATCTGGTAAATGATGTAAGGAAACAGGCACAGATGTTAAATAATTATTTAGCTTCTGTATTCTCCCCAAAGCAGGGGAGAATACAGAGGGCCAGATGAGTCTGAGATTATGGGGGCACAGATTAGAGTCACTCCCCTAGAAGGTGAGGAGCTCCTAAGTGCCCTGGATGTTATGAAGGTGCCAGGTCCTGATGGGTTACTCCCAAGGGTACTGGCAGGGGTACTCTCGTATCTGTTGGCCACAATCTTTGAGGCCTCATGGAAAATGGTAGACATTCTGGAGGATTGCAGGGTGGTGCCAGTGGGCCCAATCTTTAAAAAGGGTAGCAGAGGGGTCAGGGAGAATTATAGGCCAGTTAGCCTTATGTCCATTCTGGAAAAGATGACAGAAAAGCTCGTAATATGAAAAGCTCTAAAAACCCTCAAAAGGGGAAGGAGGTTGGCAGCCATGCAACATGATTTCTGCAAAAATAGGTCCTGTCTGTCATGTGTGTGCGCTCAGAAGAGTCTCATGCATCAAAACCAGAATCAGAGCATCAGAGAGGTGAGAGAAGAATTAACCCTTGTTCCAGCAGTACAGGATTCTCACCCCACTCCCCCAGATGTTGTGACTAGCATAGAAACAGATGGTGTTTTGCCGCCAGGAGACAAGGTGGAGGCACAGGAAGAAGCCTCTTTGGGGGCAGATATAGGACTGGATTCTAATATGGAATGTGAGAACAAAGCTGATAAGGAGAAGCCTGAATTTAAGGATGCTCGTTCCCGCAGGTATACTCAAAGACTGAGGCAGATAGAGTCTTGATTAGAAGAACGGCGATGAGCGAGTTCAGAGCGCCCCACCTCCGGGGGTGCACCCTCGACAGGTTCATAAGCAAAGCATGGGGTGAAGTTAGTCAGAGCGAGAGGTCAACTTTCTATTCTCTTTCTATTTTCTTTCTATTCTGTATTTGTTAATAGTGGTTTGTAGCTGTTTAGAATAAAGACATTGGTAGTATCTGCTGGAGTGATTGCTTTTGTTGGGAAGGGGTGCCTGGTTCACAACACTGCCAGACAAACCTTGTGGAGTTCTATAACAAGGTTTCAAGGCGGCTAGATGCAGGGGACATGGTGGATGTGGCTTACCTGGATTTCAGCAGGGCCTTTGACAAGAACTGCATAGCCTGGCTGAGAAATTGATGAGCTTCAGGATAGATTGATGTACTGTCCAATGGATTAGGGCATGGTTGATGGATCACAAGCAGACAGTAACTACCAGTGGGCAGCCATCAGTTCTGGGACTGATTCTGTTCAACCTCTTTATCAATGACCTTGGGGAAGGGGTAACCAGTCTGAAGACAATAACTTCAGACCAAATCTGAAATATTTCAGAGCAAATCTGAAGACAATACAAGTGGGGACAGTGGCCACAATGGAGGTGTCGGTACTGTGGAAGTAGGAGGGGGACAACAGGATGGTGTTCAATACAATTAAGTGAAAAATCCTGCATTTGCGCATCAGGAATAAGTGCTATAAG